GCCTTTGAGGCTGCGTTGTGGTACAGTGGATGTTTGCAGTGTTGGCTTCCCGTATCTGAGTGCTGGTTGGAGTCCCAGCTTTTCTGCGTCAGCTCCTTCAACATGTGCCTAGCAAAGCCACTGATGATAACCAGATGCTTATGATCTACTGTCTTCTCATTTGCAGTAGCCATGATCGGAGCAGGGAGATACAAGGAGGGAAGGAAATGGTTCTCTCCCCCTGCACCTGCACATGCATCTCAAGTTCCTTCTCAGCTTTGCTCCCATTTTCTCTTGGATTCCATGTCTCCTCCATCCCTGTTCACGAACATAATGATTAGGAAGCTTAGATAAATTGACATGGTGGTTATCAACATCTAAACCTGAAATTTGTTTGTGTAAAGTAAAAGCTACATTTGCATTATTCAAGGGAAAAAAAAAACTGGTGGTAGAAACTGCTAACACAATTTGCTCCTAGACTGTAGTGGGAAATCTCCTTTTTGGGACATGGGATATATCAGTATAATTTTTCTCTCAGTGTAACGTTGTTACTGAAATAACTTATCTTACTTTGCAGTCCTAAAGTAATAAATAAAACATTTATGGCTTGGAATAAATTGAGAGCCTTCTATTTTCTGGAATAGCAGCTAAGTTGGTATTCTTTTAAAGCCTCAAACAGAGTGACATCAGCAGAATTTTTTTCCTATTATCCAGTGGCTTCTGCTTTCTTTGTCAAAAAACCCACATTTTAGTTCTGAACAGTTATGCAGGAACCTTTTAAATATGAATACATTTTGTAGCATCCTTTTAATACTGTGTTTAGCTTCAGTTCTTAGGAGACAGTTCGTACAATGAGAAAGTACAGGGTTGGAATTTACATAGCGTGCTCTTTGTCTTGCAACAATCTGTGGTTCACATTTGGACGTTTGACCAGTTAACGGTCGAACTTTCTGAAGTGCAGATGCAGAATGTATTAGCTGTTGGAACAGTTCTTACAGCACATCCTGTTGTACCAAAAAGGTGTGCCATAGCTTTCCTAGCGTGCCCTAGTTCCATTTCTGTGCATGTGTATGCACATGCCACACACCTAGGATTCTCTTGAACCGATGACATTCCCATAATCTGATTTGAGATGTTTCACCTTGTCCTACTCTGAGTCCTTCCCTTGTCATCTGGTGGTAATCACGCTGAAGACCCTGCTCCGCTGATGTCTCAAGAATGCCAAATACTCAAAGAAAAAAAACAGCCCTTCAGGTTTGGTGTAGGACAAGGTTTGCTGTCTGAGCATTGTGAGTTAATCTCTTCTGTTCAAACATTTGCCACTTACTTATTAAACAAGTATTTATTGAGTAGCATCTCTTTAGAGGAGTGGAGTCAGTGCTGTGGGATGTGGAAGAGAAAATGGTGAATCATTTAGTTTATAACACAGGAGCCAAGATAATACAAGCAATTTTGTGAATGGCTTAAGGACAAAAGACGTTACATTCGACCTGTTTCTAAAGAGAGGAGTAAAATGATGAAATCTGGGCAGACTTTTGGTAGAGTGGGTAAGACACATTCAGGTGCCTAGGTACCCATTCTCTGCTCCCAATCCCAGTCGCCTAGTGACATGCGTGCTAGGAAGCAGTAAGTGATGGCCCACGCACTGGAACTGCTGTCGGCCCACTCCTCCAAGAGAGAGACTCTGTCTCACTTTCTGTTAAAGAACCTCTCTAATTCCCTCAGAGTTAGGTTAGATACCCTTGTCATGTGTCCCTTTTGGAGCACACACAAGTCACATTGCGTGGTGGCTGCATGTCGAAACCATATTTTTCCTTTCGAGCTAGGAGCTTCATGAGGGCAGGGAATGTTAGGGTTGCTCAACAGCAGCTCCTAGCTACCTGGCAGTGTGTGTGGCATGGCACTTTCCAAGAAGCAGTCCTTAACTCTGCTGCCAGTACTTGCTGAGAGCTGCCATTGCCAGTTGACCCTAACCTGCCCAGGGTGCTATTCAGTTCTGATGATTGTTTTGTACTTGACACTTAAATGGGTTTGTTCTATTTTGAGGAGCTTACTTACACCTCAGCTTTTAAAAAAAAATCATGTAAATGTAAGTTGTCAAAGTTATATTAGATGAGACTAGGAAGCAGTTTATAAGTTTAATCTGTGAAATATACCTCTGCATATTTGTTCACTTGATGGGGACTAAAGTTGAGAGCTCGCATCGAAGCCGTTGCTTGGTTGGGGTTAGATCGGCGTTGACCTGAGTTCAGCTCTAAGGTTCACTACCACTGTGCTTGTAGACAAGCCGCTGTGCTTCTGAACCTCAGCTTCCTTGTTTCTGGATATTTCATATTGCATAGTAACACCTGCCTTAGTAAAAGCTTAGGAAACAACTTCCTTTGTACGTGGCACACACTAGTTTCTACTCCTGATTCAAATTGCTTTAAATTCCAACACTGCTGTCATTTACTGAAACATTTTGGGGTTTTATTTCTTAGAACAGTTTTCTGAGCTACCAGTGGACCATCAGAGCATCTCAATTGGAGACATCTTTTTTTTCTTTGAGGATGTGTTTGATTTTTAGAAACAGCTAAGTTCAAAGAGTAACATCAAGATAATTGCAACTGTTTTTGATACTAAAATATGTTTATGAGATTTTCTTCTGTAGTATTCAAGTTGATACATTTTCTTTTTTACAGTTAACATTAACAATGTATTAAGTTCAGAGAATCACAACCATCTTTTGATTGTGAAGAGCTTTCTGCTAAATCAAGTGGTATTAAGGTTAAGAGACTGAGATCTTTGATTTATGTAGTGAGAAGTTGCCCATCAAAATTTTACATCTAGCAACGAAGAGCTTGGGGGGAAATGGCCCAAGGTGCTCCTGCATTCCTGTACTGTTTTCTTTTCAGCCAGGACCGTGGGGATTGGTGTGGCTGAGATGAGCAAGGGCATATAGGATGTGGTGATGACTTAGAGGAGCTTGATGTCTTTGGGGGTCTGTCCCCTGTAGAAGCAGGGGAGCATAATGGAAAAAATGAGATGGACAAGAACATAGGCATTTCTGTGCAATCATTGTGGGCTTGTGCAGAAAAAAAAAATCACGGGATAAGTCTGCAGTATAGAGAACTAGAGCCACAAAGTCCTCTTCCTACTACGAAGCAGCAAAAACAAAACATTATGCAACTGGCTGGAGGATACATCACGATGATGGAAAGCCGGGAGGGGTGTTCTGTAGGATCAGCACAGAAACTGCCCATCAGGAGCCTGGTGGTCACAGGGACTCAGTATTTTACATTCTTACTGTATAGTGGGCAATAAATGTGAAGTGTCAAACTCCAAGGGGTTATCAGTGTTCATTATTTTAACAATATTTGACTAGTTTTCACCTGGATTTACCCCATCTCGTGTGCATTTTTTTTTTTTTTTTTTGCTGCTGCCGTGAGAATGATTCACTGATGAGGGATGTGGAGGTGGGGCGAGGAACACAGGAGCATAAACATTCACGTGTTGTGGGTGGAGGGTGAGAGAAGGTTCCACGAGTCCCTTTGGCGTCTGGGCAGAAGCAGAACAGCGTCTCACCAGCACGTGTGACTGGCCCCGTTGCAAGGGCCTGCTTGTGGACCAAACTTCACCAGGCATTGATCTTTTTTTTTTTTTCCTAAAATCTGTACCAAATGACGTGAATTTTGAGCTACTGGCTTATAATGTAATGGAAGCTTACTCTTAGGGTTTAGACTTGCAGCATTGGAACTTCTCTTTGGGAGGTGGGTTCTTGTCCAAGGTGATGGATCGCTCAGTGAAATTTCAGCTTGTTCCACAGCTTGGCTAGGGACGAGGCAGTTCAAGGAACAGCCTCCCACTGCAGCAAAGGCAAAAGCTACAGATTGCTTATTTTTATTTATTCCCATTCAAATTTAAATACCAGAAATAAACTTTAAATAACTGAAGTTATTGCAGAATTCAAGGTCTTTGGCATTAGAAAAATGAAGAGAATATTATAGCTTTTTTTTCCCTTTCAGGGTTTTCCTGCTAAGTTAGTTATTGGTCATCTTCTCTGGGTATTTTTTCTTAAGGTTAACCAGGTTCAAACTATTAGTGCATGTAGCAGTTATTAGGCAGTCAGCTTCATTTAAAGTTTTCTGTGGTTTAAACCCATTTTAGAAACTTATGTTAAATAGGCCATCACATTATGACGAAATGTTTTCATTTTTGAAAGACAGAATTTTGCCTCTTGACAAAATGTTCTGTGTATTATATAATTGAGTGTTTTACAATGATAAAGGAATACAAGGGACATAAATGCAAAGGAAGTCAACTTGAAATTAATTTCTGACAGGTGACCCAAGTAATCTCTACTGGTTAAGAAAAAGTGAGAGGTTGAGGGATGTGAGTTTGTGAGTTTATCATTGTTTTGGCAGATTCCTACAGACTTAAGAATTTCAGCAAACATGTTACATTCTGTGGGTTAAGAGTACCACATTGTACACATTGGCCCAGCTGTACCTTTTGCAGGCGCTAGGGGGCAGTCCATTCCCTGCCCTGCCCTGCCCAGTTTCTAGAACTGACTGAGCTGCTTGTTGGTTGACCTGCTCCTATGTTAAAAGCCATCCAGGTTGTGTTTTCCTGACAAGTCTTCTGTGTCCCTGGCCATAGTTTGGTAGGCTGCCCTGCTTTAAGGACTCCTGTGGCTAGATTGGGCCCATCCAGATGATGCAATTTAGTCTCCCCATCTCAAGATCTTAAGTTTAATCATAGCTTCAAAACTCCTGTTGCCAAGAAAAGTAACGTATCTTCAAGTTCTTGCGTTTAGAAGGTGGATGTTTTAGGAGAAGGGACATTATTCTACCAACTGTAATATGGAGATGTCTGTATGCAACTCGATTTTATACAGAGAGCCTAGTTTTCAAATGCATCCATGGTTTGTTATCAGGTTCCTAAGAAGCTCGCACGTGGGCATTTTGCAGTAGAAGTGTGTGTTGTGTTTGGGTCTTAATCTGTTGAAGCTAATGTTCCTTCCCCTTTGTTTATTTTGATAGTGATAATCTGCTAAGGAGAGCGGCCTGTCAAGAAGCTCAGGTAATGCCATTCGTGTGATAAAAATTAAAGCTCACCTTATCTCCACTGTGCAGGAAGTGCTGGCGCATCCAGGGGACCTGCGCAGTGTTGGTGTCGGTGTGGTTGGGCTCTTCTTCCTCACCGTCAAGGGACGAGTCGGGCTGAGAGCCAGTTCTTGAGTAGAAGGAAGTTCTCCATCTACTGGAGAGCAGTTCTGACACCCACCTTCAGAAGTGCTCGCTTCTGGATCATTCCCAACAACATGGAGCTGCACTGGTTGACGCTCTGGGAATTTGTTTCTGCACTTGTCCTTGAAGATCTGACTAAATCCTGATTCATCCCTGATCCAAATAACCTCCAGGGATATCAGTTCAGAGCAGGTGTTATTGCTGAAAGTCAAATCCTCTTAAAATGGTTGATTTATATTTTTAAATTCCATCTCTTCAGCTGATTTTTCCTGTACTATTTTCCTAGTTCCATGAGGTTTTCATAAATACTTATCTGGGAGTGTTATTTATAGTTATAAATTCTAATTTCAATAGCCATAATTTTGCTTCTGCCTTCCAGTTTGTGCGTTCTACCTTGGATATAGGTTGGTGACTCAGTTACTGTTTTGCTATGTATCATTTAGCTGATGATGTCACAAGTACAAGAAAAGAAACATGAAAGTAAGAAATGCTGAAGGGATGAAGCATTTAGAAGTGGGTTGCAAATCTCATGCTTGCTTCTGAAATAAATGACAATGAAAAGAGATGCTCTCTGTAGATCCACCTTTTTAGTGATTAACTCTTCTAAATCTTGTTTATAAGAATCTTATTTAGTTTAACTGTGTTATAGGATTCTAAGTTGTTTCAGAACTCAATCCAGATAAATTTAAATCATAGCTTCGGAGTGGTCCCAGCCCCAAGCTGGCTATTAGCAAGAGAAGTGCCTCTTGGGAGAAGAACTTTTGTGTCTCTTTTTGATGAGAGATCTGTGTATGGGCTGGGAGCGTCCTCCTCTTCCTGTTGTGGGTTAATGCTTCCGGTTCTGCTTTGGATGCCACCAACGACTTTTTCTCTTAAGCATAGAAGTGGTGTATACCTCTGAAATGTTCTGAAAGAAAACGTTGTAGGTTTGAGAGTCAGAGGGAGATGAAGGAGATCTTCCATCTGCTGATTCGCTCCCCAAATGGTACAACAGTCAGGGCTGGGCCAGGCCACGGTAAGGAGCTAGGAGCTCTGAGCTGGCCTCGGGAAGGGTGTAAGGGCACAAGTGTTTGGGCCATCTGTCATTGCCCCCTGAGGCCCATTAGCACGGAACTGGATCAGACGGAGAGCAGCTGGGATTCAAACCTGTGCAGGTAGGATGGTGGCATCGCAGGTGAGATCTTAACTCACTGGGCCACAACTCTAGCCCCAGAAACATTTTTTTTTTAAAGGTTTATTTATTTTTATTGGAAAGGTGGTTATACAGAGAGAAGGAGAGACAGAGGAAGATCTTCTGTCCGATGGTTCACTCCTCAGGTGACCGCAACAGCTGAAGTTGAGTCAGTCTGAAGCCAGGAGCTCTTGCGGGTCTCCGATGCGAGTGCAGAGTCCCAAGGCTTTGGGTTGTCCTCGACTGCTTTCCCAGGCCACAGGCAGGGAGCTGGATGGGAAGCGGGGCTGCCGGGATTAGAACCGGCGCCCATATGGGATCCCAGCACGTGCAAGGCAAGGGCTTTAACCAGTAGGCTATCGTGCTGCGCCCAGAAGCATTTTTTTTTTAAAGCAAATAATTGGTATTGAGAATCTCTAATGGAATGTCAGGGAGGTGATAGATTTAGTGAATTTGCTTTAAAAAAAAAGTTTTATGTAACTTTTACTGCTATCTCTCTAGAATTTTGAATCTTGCTGTCTTGGCTCAGACCTGCCCCTACCTTTCGGGACTAACTGTGACCTTTGCCCTTTCTGGTGCTTTTGCTCTCCTTCTTTGCGTTGACTGCATTCTCCTGGACAAACTGGATGGCCGCTGCTGCTGTTCTGTCCCAGTTCTCGCCCCTCGCGTCCAGTCCTCTGCCTCATCCTTTACCTGCTGTCTGGAGCCAAGACAATAAAAGACTGAGTTTTGGAGTTACATTAAAAAAATTCCTGGACTGTCCTTTATTAACTAAGTGATGCTCAATATCTGAACTTTTCCAATCTTAGTGTTGTAATCTAAAAAAGAGATTAATTAGTGCCCCCAGGGTTGGAGAACTAAGCATACATGTGTAAATGTGCAGATCTTGTTTCCTGCGCTTGCTGCTCCTCAGCCAAGGTTGTCGAGAAGATTAGGCAGGTAGAGTATCAGGTTCGATTCTCCTCTGTGCAAAGATATAAAGAGGAATTGGTAGCACATATTTGTTATAAACAAGCTATAATTATAAATTGAGCAGTAAGATTACACTTGGGAAGCTAAAGACACATGAATTAAACTCTTTCCCCTCGCCCCTAGCCTGTGGCCTCACTGCTTTTGTTTATAAAAACAAAACCTAACAAAACCAAAAAAACTAACCGTATCTTAGAGAAGTTACCTCCAGCAAGAGAAGCAAGGTCTTTGTGCCAATACAAAATTGAGCTTACTGTTGTGAAATAATGGTGTACTTTTGATTAAAACCACCACTTTCAACAATATAATCTGTGATCATGAAAGATTTTGTCTTAGAGTAGATGCTGTGGAAGTAAATTATTTTTGGAACATGTGACCTCTGACTGAATTAAGCGTGTTCATGGAAAGCTTTTCTTTTTTCAGGTGTTTGGCAATCAGCTTATTCCTCCCAACGCACAAGTGAAGAAGGCCACCGTGTTCCTCAACCCTGCAGCTTGCAAAGGGTAGTTCAGTGTGTGTGTGTGTGTCTTATGTGTTATCTGGGTGGGGGAGGGTGGGAAAGACAGAATATCAAACAGTTAATTAGGCTATGCGGGTTTGGAAGGAGTAGCTTCAATATTTTCCTAGCACTGATTCATCTGCAATGTAGAAATAGCAAATAATAAGAAATAACTAAAGCTAATGGATGGGTAGCTCAGTTGGCTAGTTGAAGTTTAATAATTGCTCTGGAATTAATAATCCCCCAGGGAGCAACTGCTCTGCTCTATGGCAAAAATTGTCAGTCCGTTTCTGTTGACAAGATGTTCAGACATGGCCAAGAGCTTTGTGGAGGGCAGATGGATGTTTCCAGAAGGATTTGAACACGAGGCAGGTCTTGGAGAAGAACACTCTTCCTGACTGAGGAAATGGCCCATGGTGCAGGACCTGGGTTGACCGAGTTGTATCCTTGTTGGTAACAAGATAGTCTGTGAAGGAACTCTGGGCACTAAGGTTTGAAGAATAGCTGAGATACTGGTAGATAATGATGGGTTCATGTTGGTACCACATACAGCGCTGCAAGAGGGAGAAGCAGGTGGGCAGGTAGGAATGCAAAGTGTTAAGAAAATACATACCATAGGCACTAAACATTGTTTGCCATATTGATGCCATAGATGACAATTGTCATTTAGTTGAAAAGGTGAATACGAGACCCTGATGCCTTTCAAAGAAATGACTTAAAATTTATTTTTGAAAGATGTAAGTTGAGGAAGAATAAAAAAGTGTCAGTGATCAGAGCAGTTCATTTGGGCTTTTCTGAGGGTCAGTTATGCAATCCTGAGCAGCCAGTATGTTCTGAGCTGCATTGCTGCTGTACATTGCATGTCGGCATTCATTTTGTGAGATTTCATTTACACAAACTTACATATAGTTCAGCTTAATACACACCTAGGCTGTGTGGTGTAGCCTTTCCACCCCTATGTTAGTGTGTTACTGAAGTAGCTACAGACAGTTCTAAGTATAGGGGTATTGTGTGTCTAAACACAGAAAAAGAATACAGCATAAGGACAGGCTGGTGAGGATGCCTGACCTGAGGACCATGTGGCCACGCTGAGGTTGTGTGTCAGCCTCCAGCTGGACGCCAGCTCCCTGCCATGCAGCCCCTGAGGCCCTCATGATGCCTTCAGCAGCCCCTGATGCCAGCTCCCTGCCATGCAGCCCCTGAGGCCTTCATGATGCCTTCAGCAGCCCCTGACGCCAGCTCCCTGCCACGCAGCCCCTGAGGCCGTCATGATGTCTTCAGCAGCCCGGCATCTGCCATCTGCATGGGAGAACTGGATTGAATTCCTGCTCTCAGCCTCAGCGTTAGACGAGCCCTGTGCGTAGCTGGCATTTGGAGAGTGGGCCAGCAGATAGCAACGTTTACTCTATTTTTTTTGTCTGCCTCTGAAATGAGGACTTTCAGAAATGTGGTATAAAATGCGTGTGTAGGTGGTAAAGGCAGAAGGCGTTGTCCTGTAGGCTTCATAAGCAGTGCGCGCTGAGGCTCTAGGAAGTAGACACAAATCTGTCTTCGATAATCATTACAGCTTACTGTAATTTTTTTCCTTTAAGATTTTTCTCTCTCTTTTATGATAACTCTCTAGCTTTTCAAACTTTACAGTGAAACTGAAACAGAAACGCACTAGCTTAGGTCTGCCAGGGGTTGGCTGTACCCGTATCGCTGTCTTCTGCTGCTTGTCCCATTGCGAAGCCCTCGGGAGCAGTGGAGGGCTGGCATCTGTGATCATGTTGCCCTTTTTTGAAGAGCCTGCCTGAGACTGTTCTACAGTGAGCAGGAGTACCACCGTCTAAAATAATAAGGCATAACACACGCACCTGGGAATAAGCATTTCATTATCGTTACCATGTATTACAGGTTGAATCCCTGTAATCTGAAAATCGGAAGTCTGGAATGCTCCAGAATTGGAAAAAGTTCAGATTTCAGGACAATTTCAGTTTAGTTTTTGTGCGTTTTTCTTTACATTAGAAATGCCACACTGTTAAAGCTGATACAAGTATAAGAAAATGTAAGTAACTGTTAGATTGGAACTGGGTCAGCACTTTAGGCAAGGGCTGATGAGCCTGGCTGTGCTAAAAACTGTACAGCCAGCAGTGCAATGGCTTTGTTTATCTGGATTTCCCCCAGGGATGCGGGGGTGCAAGGACCGGGGCAGGCCATCTTGTGCCTTCCCCATCGTATTAGCAAGGAGCTGGATCTGAAGCAAAGCAGCTGAGCTTGAACTTGCACTGCGATATGGCAGGTGATGACTTTGTACCACACCAGTTAGATCTAAATCCAGTGACTTCAAGAACAGTAACAGCATAGTGAATGCTTGGGGTCAGAGTGGAAAGCAAGAGGATTCATATTGTCCGAGGTAGAAAATAGGACTATGAAGTCGGTCTCCTAGACATTTTTTGGGAGACAATGAGTGGGGACTCACAAATAATGAGGACAAATCACGTCCTGTTTTGTTTGTTTTTTGTTATTAATTTCATTTGTTTGAAAGGTAGCGGGAAATAGGGAGGCAGACCTGTCAGCTGCTGTATTCTCCGAGGTGCCTGCAACAGCTTACCTGGGCCAGGCTGGGGCCAGGCGCCCACAGTTCACCCCGAGTCTCCCATGTGCGTGGCACAGACAGAGCTTCGTGGACCATTGTCTGTGATCTTGGCCAGCAGGTTAGCAGTCTGCAGCAGAGCAAGGACTCCAGCCCAGGCACTGGGACATTGATCTCTAAGCAGAAATGCTTGCCCCGTGCTTTGCTTCACTGTTTCAAGATATCACCTACAAATGACCTCAGTGGGCTCCTTAATTGAATCCCTTTTGTCCACCTCTGTTTGAACTGCTTCCCTCCCTGCTTTGAGCACACCAAGACATGCAGTGCCAAAGACTGTTCTTGTTCAGCCAGAGGTACTAAGTCACGGTGATGCCTTTTGGCAGAAGATGGAGAATGGGACCTGGGATGGAACCTGGTCCTGGCTGGCTGTTAGGCTGTTCGCTAGTTCCACGAAACTGGAGGAGCCCCTAGCTAGCACATGCCCCGAATTACCACATAGAGAAGGTGCCTTTTGTATTCAATGAGACAGACGGTGCCTGTGAAGCCTTAAGCTTGGTTTGTTTCCTAGGAAACCTTCCATAGAGGGCGCTGCTGCTGTTACGTAAGCCTGAGCTGAGTTCAGATCCTTCTCCAGTGTGCTTTTCCCATCCTTCCCGAAAGCCCTTTGCCCTTTCCGCTGGCCTGCTTTAATGTGACTGTTACACACAGTGTTACTAGAGACCTAAACAATAAATCGGTTTGAATACACAACCATTTACATAGCTCAAGGAAGTTATTTTGGGTTTCTATATCTAAGCTGCCCACATTAAATTATTAGCCCTGATTTTCCTGTAGCCTTGATAGATTTTCACAAACAGCTGTGTTTGTATCTTCAAGGGTGGACTTTGATTTGAAGTGGTGATGCGCTGATGTGCAGGCAAGTTGGAATTCTGGCACTGAGGAGGAGGTGTAGACCCTTCAGCCAGGGGAAGCCTGCCTCCACCCAGGCGTCCGGCTCCTTGTTTGAAAAACCCTCAACCGTTTTTGCTATTTTTTTTTCTTTTTGTCATCACAGTTCTGTCTTCACACATGATTTATAATTTATCGTGGAGCTGTTTCATTATGTAGTACAGGTTTAAAACTACATAAGAGCTTAAGGACGTAACTGTGTTTAGCATTAATAATATATTAAGGAGTAATTGTGGGGCGTGCCCGAGAGCCTGGAAATGGCTGCTAGAACGTGAAGTGTGTATTTAGCCCAGTGCAGTCTTGTCCTTAATTATGTAAAAATAGTGGATATCTTATTGGTCATTTGTTCTTAACCTTTTAGAGGAAACATTAGGAACAAAAAGGATTCACTTTCATTGTAGAAATTTTTTAAATCTATGGTATCAGATGTGGGGGGAAAGAAACTTTATAAATTTTTGAACCTTAAGCTGATGTGAAATAGTACAAATTTGTTTACTGTGGTGTGGCAGAATGTAAGTTACCAAGAGTTTTGCTTCTAGAAAATGGCTCAAGGACAGGTCAGTTAATTGTGTTTTAACACTTGTTCGGCTTTGAGACTATGCGCCTGGCTGTGGAGCAGACAGGAGAGCACTTGTTGTAACCTGTGCATTCCTTGCTCCAGAGGCGGTGGTTTTGAATCCTGACCCGAACTGGACAGTAGTTTACTGTCGGGATGTTCTCTTGTACTAGGACATCACAGTTTTGTCCTTTCCTGTTCCTCAGATCCATGTTCTTCACTCATCAGTACATGAGTTCATCACATTCCTAGACGTGTCCTCTGAGCGTGCCCCCTGTAATCCCGGGGTCCGGGGAACCTGGAATGGCTAAGGCTGGCTCTCGCCTTTAACTGCTGGAGGAGCTCTAAAGATGGCCTTGTGTGTCTTCACTGCCACATGTTGTGCGAGAGAACACAGGGAGGGAGGCATGGCTGCGCCTACGAGTTTGAGACATGCTGCTGACTAATTATCTGATTGCTACATTCGAGTTTCTGCTTTCATGGCAGAAATTCTGCTTTCATGAGAGATTTTTTGCTCTGTGTCTAAGATTTCACTACAGGTTCAAAACTCACATCTCTAGTATTTTAAATGGTTAAAAATGGTGTTTCCTCAGAAGGTATTTCCTAAGGTAGAATTGAATAAAACTGTTTTCTTTATTCCCTTGGGCAAATGAATAAGATTAGAGAGTAACTTCCCTTCTCCATCAGAGTCTGAGTTCCGTGAGGACAAGCAGCCTTAGCGTATTGTGACGGCACTTGGTCCACGTGGGTTGGCCACGCAGTAGATGCTCAGTAAGGACTTCAGTGGAGGAGAACCGTGTCCAGTGACTATCCTTGCTCTAGGAAACAGGAGTGGGAACTTCCACCATGGACTAGGTGTCACCTTCCAGAGACCTTAGGGTGAAATCAGCAATCTTCTATCCATACTTATTACTCCTTGTTAAACTTCCTGTATGTGGACGTGGAAGAACTGCTTGTCACACAGTTACCCTGGAGAAGATGATCGGGCTTTTTATTCTCTTGAGAATATGTGGTGAAATAATTCTACTTTCTTTTGTCTGCAGCAAAGCCAGGACTCTATTTGAAAAAAATGCCGCCCCGATTTTACACTTGTCCGGCATGGATGTGACTGTCGTCAAGGTGAGACGGCTGGGGATTGTTGACTGCCTAAGCTGCCACTTTGTAAAACGTACCCTCTTCTCTTCTGAGCAGAAATCACTTCTTAAGACAGAAAAATAAATGATGTGTTCATTATGATAATTAATAAAAGTAGTTTTGCTTTTGCCTTTTAAAAAAGATCTATATTTATTTGGAAGGCACAGTTAGAAGGAGAGAGAGGCGTCCATCCTTGATGCATTCCCTGAATGGCTGCAGCGGAAAGGCCAGAGCCAGGAGCAGCTTCCGGACTTCCATGTGGGTGTAGGGGCTTGGGCCATCCTCTGCTGCTTTCCCAGGCACATTAACGGGGCTGGACTGGAAATAAGGCAGCCAGAGCTTGAACGGGTGCCCATATCGAAGGCCGACATTGCAAGCAGTGACTTACACTGTTGTGCCACAGTGTCCATCCCAGATGTTTTGTTTTGTTTGTAATAACACTGTCAGTTTATACTTTACAGGATAGGACTAGATAAAGCATAGAGAATTTGATACAATTTTTCTGAGACAAGTTATGCTATTTCTTACGGAAAATGAAAGTCGTTACAACTCTAAGAATTCTTTTCCTGGGGTGGGTGTTGTGGCAGAGTGGATTAAGCTGCCTTTGGGACAGCTGCCTCCCACACTGGAGTGCCGATTCAGGTCTGAGCATCTCAGCTCCTCATCCACCTTCCTACTCTTGTATCCTGGGAGACAGCAGGTGACGGCTCAGGTGTCTGGGCCACAGCCACCCGTGTAGAAACATGGACAGAATTCTGGGATCCTGATGTCATCCCAGCTACTGCAGGCATGTGGCAAATGAACCAGTACATGGAAGATCTCTCTCTCTCTCTCTCCCTGTCTTTCTCTTTCACTCCACCTTTCAAACAGATGAAAATAACATTTTTTTTATGGAAGAACAATTTTTGTGAAAATACAAACCTTAAAAACTTAGTTTTTTGGCACAGATATGCAATGTTTTTTCTCTCTGGTAAGTGGTTATCACTGGTGAGGAATTTTACATCATTAGAACTTGTGAGATGAAGATAAAAGGTCACAAAAGGCAAGAAATTGCCTGGGTTGCAGCGATGACCTCAAAGTGCCGCTTCCGTTGAGTTTTCATTGTTACGTGTTTAGGTGTACACGGAGTGTGTGTTTAGTGAGATTAGAAATCCCTCCATATGTTTGTTTTGCTCAGTGTTGTGTACATGTTGCTTTTTATATTTGGAGAATGTTATTAGGTATACTAAAGTTTCAGATGGTCATTTTTCTTGAATTTGATCCAACCGTAGTCAGTTTTAGCATTAATCTTAACTTTTTGCCACAAGACTATCTTACCTGAAATGTTAACTATTTTTAATAAATACATTTTCTGCGTACGTACAGTACCAATTTTATATCTAGCAGAAGTAACATTTGTTAAACTACACAGCCCTTATTGTCACGTGACCCATGTATTTTTTCAAACCATGTGTTTTTAATTTTTCCCACTTTGATACTTGTCAATTATATACAAGACTTAAATATTATGTGTATTGACACAAAAAGTAGAAATTTAAAAAGTTTAAAATCAAGGATGAAATCGTTCTAGACCTCAGTGAGACCACTACCCTGTGCAGTTTGTTCTTTTCAATGAGTTTTTCTTTTGAAGTAATATCAAACTTCAGAAAAAGTTGCAGATGCTTCCTGTGTCCCACTGATAGACAGCACCCACGGAACGTCTGCCCTGTCCACCCTCTCTCTCCTTCTGTGTGTCTAGATTACCTATTGCTGGGATTGTTATGAATTGTTTAAGTTGCAAATCATACTGTCCCTCGGCCCAGCGCGGTGGCGCAGTGGTTAAGGTCCTCGCTTTGCACGCCTGGGATCCCATATCAGTGCGGGTTCTATCACGGCAGCCCTCTTCCCATCCAGCTCCCTGCTTGTGGTCAGGGAAAGCAGTCAAGGACGGCCCAAAGCCTTGGGACCCTGCACCCACGTGGGAGACCCCAAAGAGGCTCCTGGCTTCAGATCGGCATAGCATCAGCCGTTGCGCTCACTTGGGGAGTGAATCATCGGACGGAAGATCTTCCTGTCTCTCCTCTCTGTATATCTGCCTTTCCAATAAAAATAAAATAAATCTTTAAAAAAAATACTGTCCCTCTAAATTTTCCTAGTCATAAGAGCAAGAGCCTTCTTTTACATAACTCCAGAAGTTTGCAAAATCAAAGAAACTTTGATATACCATTATTATCTAATTTGTAAAATTTATCCAAATTGTTCCACTAATGCTGTTTATAATAGAAGATTTTTTTTTTCTTGTTCCACATCCGGTCCAGAATTACATGTTGCATTTAGTTATCATGCAAGGGTCTGACATGATTTGTTCTTAGCAAGCTCATGCTGGTTCTTAATGGTCACCTATTAGTGTTTAGAACCAACCTTTATATATATATATATATACACACATATATAATATGAGAGAGAGAAAGGTATATAGTATTTGCAAACATGCAGCTTTTAAAACCAGTCTTTTTTTCAATTTTAGAGTAAAAGTAGAACTATTCATCCTACAATTAGTGATATTTTCAGGGACTCCATTCCCCTCTTGTTAGCTCTCACTGGCTGTCTCATTGACTCGCTGACCTAAGGGCTGCAGGGTTTTCTCTTACAGTGGGCTGTCTGGTTGGTTTTTCTGACACCAGCCCCTTGAATCACTGTCACAGTGCTTCTGACGAGCCAGCTTGCAGCTGAAGGTGCCATCGTCCCTCTTGTGCTCGTGTAACTTTGCTAGATTGAGTCAAGCTTACTGCTTGATTAAGGAGCACACCCTCACAGAGGGATGCGTATTGGAAGGTGTGGGGTAGTGGCCCTGCAGAGAGCTGCCACATGTTCTGGCTGCGCTGGCCTCTCAGCAGCTGGGCGTGCTGCTCACCAGCCTGGGAGTCCCAGGCCGCCATGGCTTAAGGGTTCATGGAGACCTTGTTCATGTAAGTAGCTGTGATGGAGAAAACCACTGGTGACTGGTGAGTGAGTGGAATCCTCGCAAGCCCCTCGCTCCTCCCTTTGGGCTGGGATTAGAAGCTCCAGCCCTCACTCTAACTGTTTTGCTGGCCTTTCTGCTCCCTAGCCCAAACCATGAGACCATCTAGGGACTCACAAAAACCAAATTGTTGATACAGACCCAAGTGTGGTTGACATCGACTTGTCATGAATAAGAGGAACTTTCATTGCTCAAAAGAAAAAGTTCAGGTTTTAGCTTTGTGCCAGGAGCAAGGAACAGAATCTAAATAAATTTTATATATGTATATATAATCTTTTATCATACCTCTGATACTTTAGCCTGCCTAAAGTCCAGATAATTTTTACCTACTAGTTTGTCTAGCGAAGTGCTTCCTATTTTAGAATTGTTTGCATCATGCCTGTTAAAATTGAGGCTTTGGTTTCAGAGCTGTGTATGTGTATCTGTGATGGAATGCTATCCAACAAAAATGATTACACTTAGTGTGTTATGACTAATTTACTCAGCCTTTAGCTTTATGTACAATGAGGGCAAAGCAAAATCATTTCCTTTTGTAACAATTAGGAACACCTCCCTACTAGTTGCTCTTCATGCTGCTTTCTAACAGGATAAGGAAGGTATAATTACCTCTTTCCCCAATGTACATAATTAATAAGAAAATGAAGATCCAGAGACTTTAAGGCCATTAAATCTAGGTCTCTTGGGATCCCAGATCTGGGCTTTTCCATTACCTCTGCTTCTCCTTATTTGCATATACACTTGACTTCCAGCCTCAAATGAAAAGGAATGGGTGGATGATATAATGGAAACAGCACCAAACTGGAAAAGAGTCCTTTGAAAAGCTTGCTAACAAATTGTTAGGTTTAAATTTTAGAGTAAGGGGGCCCAGCGGTGTGGCCTAGTGGCTAAAGTCCTCGCCTTGAACATGCCCAGGATCCCATATGGGCGCCGGTTCTAATCCTGGCAGCCCCACTTCCCATCCAGCTCCCTGCTTGTGGCCTGGGAAAGCAGTTGAGGACGGCCCAAAGCCTTGGGACCTGCACCCACGTGGGAGACCCCGAAGAAGTTCCTAGATCCTGGCTTTGGATTGGCATAGCATCGGCCATTGCGCTCACTTGGGGAGTGAATCATTGGACGGAAGATCTTCCTATCTCTCCTCCTCTCTGTATATCTGACTTTCCAATAAGTAAATCTTTAAAAAAATTTTTAGAGTAAGGGACTTGTTGTATGGTTTCTGAGGTTCTCTCTCAGCTCTTAAGCCGGTAAACACTATACATAATGAGATGATAGCTTTTATATTGATCAGTTGGGTAAAACTTGAGAAGGTAGTGATGTAGAACTTGAAGGTTTTAGGTAGACTTTCCCGTAGGTTTTCACCTTTGACCCTGTGACCCGTGAATGATCAGTTCATCAAGTTTCCTTTGTATTTCAGACAGATTATGAGGGACAAGCCAAGAAGCTTCTGGAACTGATGGAAAGCACAGATGTGATTATTGTTGCCGGAGGGGATGGGACCCTGCAGGAGGTATGACTGATTTTCTCTTTGAGGCATTTTCGAGGTGAGAAAAATGGAAATTAAGTATTGTAGCAATGAGGATAGTTATGGCTAGGAAAATTTTTCCCTTCGTTCTCAGGATTGTCACTCTCTGAATTTAGCGTAACAGGAAATGTTTCACATACCTTTATTGCTTTGATTAGTTGTGTAGTACAGGAAGTGTTTTTGTGTTGATCAAATTTAATAAATAAGCTCAACAGATAAAATGATGGTGGGGAAATAGGTTGTTATATCTTGTAGATTCATAAGAAGCCTAGCTTGTAATAGAATCATAGTTTTAATAATAATATTTATTATAAAATAAACCAAAATTTTTTTCAAGAAAATGCATTTGTCCATTCTCACATTTCTATCATATGATGTCAGCTCCTCATGCTACATGAGTAGGACAAGGTGTATATATATGCAGGTGTGTGTATCTTCCTTTGTTAGAATATCAGCTTTGAAGAAATAACTCTACAGAGCTATCAGGATGGCCCACATCCGAAAAACTGAAAAGATAGTATCCTGGTAAGGATATGAAGCAGCATGGCTTTATTGCTGGCAGGGATGCAAAATGATGACAAGAAGTGTGTTAAAAGTGTGTTGAACCAGACACACTTTTACCGTGTGGTCTAGTAAGACATTCCTGGATGCTTACTCAGACTTTGAAGACTTCTATCCACACACAGTCCAGTATGTGGCTGTTTGTGCCAGCTTGGGCCATGATTGCCAACTCGGAAGCAACGAAGATTTCCTTTAATAGGTACATAAATAATGTGTTGTATTGAGAAAATTAAATATTATTCAACAGTTGAAATAAGTTAAATATCAAGCCATGAAACAACATGGGGAAATTAAAATGCATATTTTTAAGTGATTGGGAGAGGCTAATTGAAAAGTCTGTTACAGTATCGTTCCAACTTTTTTGATTTGTGGAAAAAATGATGCAATGGAGACAATAAAACGGTGAGTGGTTTTTGCCAGAAGTTGGGGGAAGCTGTCAATAGGCAGGGTACACAGGATTTTTAGGGCAGTGAACAGAGTCAGTATGAGATGATATTGTGCATGTGTCAAAACCCGTGGACACAGAGTGAAACTTGGAGTAAACTGTCGCGTGTGAGAGACCGTGTGTGGGCGGAGGTTCATCAGTTAGAGCAGTGTGCCCCTCCAGTGGAGACGCAGGAATGGGAAGATAGCTGTGTGCGGAGGCAAGAGGACTAGGAAAGCCAACTTACCTTCCTCCCTGTTTTGCTGTGAACCTGTAATTGATTTTTTAAAAAGTTTATCAAGAAATATCAAACGCCTGCAAACAGGTTTGTACATGCAATGAGACAGTTTGTGATGTCATGTAGTACCCCATAAATGCTTAGTTTTTTCATATATCACGATTTAAAAAAAGCTTCACTAGCAATGGCCTGTGCTTGCTACTGCTTTCTTTCAACGAGGAGCACGGAGCCTGTCGCCTTGCAGGGGTCCTCTTGTTCCTCACAGCAGCTGAGCACATCCAGTGTGTTTCGGAAGCCCCCGAGGAGCCAGTGCGGGGGATCTTGGCCGATGCTGTATTCCACGGTTCACGTCCGTACCTAATTCTGGTGGCCGTGAATCTCCATTGGGCGGTTTCTTTGGAGTTCAGAAATCAGAAGCTAACAGCAGATAGAACACTGTCCTAAATTTGACTTAGCAATTAGGTGAGCCTTAGTAGACTCCCTTTTAAAAAAAGCTGTGTTAATGATCTTGTAATTGTTTTTATGGCTTTTTAATGAAGTGTGAACAATACTGATAGCATGCCAAAGAAGAATGAAGTGGATCACTTGACATCCCCATTTAATCCTGAAATTCAGTGAAGCAGTAGAAGACGAAGGGAGATTTGCATGAAGTTCTACTTTATAAAATGTTCTTAAAGAAATATGCCACATTATGTATGAATATACTTCAGAAAGTTTGTAGGAAACAGAATTAAAAGGTAATTTTATTTTGGCATAAAAGAAACTTGAAATCTGTAAAGCTTTTTCACAAAAAGCAGTTTTCATGAGAACTTTTAAAATATGCTACAGATGCATGGATTTCAAATTCTTCTGCAGGATGAACTAAATTCTATTGTCCATGGGCTTTTGAAGTAGCTTCATGTTTATTAAAATCACAGCATTGTAAAAATATGCATTGACTCTTAAAAAATGAGAGTGCCGTCTGCTTCACTGCCCACTCACTTGTGTGGCCGGGGTATCTGGGCCAGGTCAATGCTGAGAGCCTAGAACAGAGCGGGTCTCTCCTGCTGGTGCTAGGAACCCAGATACCTGAACCTTTATCCCTGCTTCCCCGGGTCTGCATCGGCAAAAAACTGGAGCCAGGATCTGGAACCCGCAGTTGAACCCTGTCACTCTGAGATCAAATGCAAACATCTTGACCCTGAGGCTAACCATCTCATAACATAGTTAGTAGGAAGAAAACAGGGCTAAGTTTATGGTCTTGAAAGATTAAATCTAATGCCTTTATTGTAACACACATCTGCTATAACTTTTTTGTTTTTTACCATTTGTAGGTTGTGACTGGAGTTCTCAGAAGAGCAGATGAGGTGAGCTGTAGAGAAATAGCGATTGTGTTTTGTCTTTTCCTTTTTTGCTCTTTTTATTGCTTTTCTTTTACCTTGAACCACTCCACCCCGCCACCATGTTACACTTTAAAACAGGCCAAATTGGACTTTGTTGAATTTTAGCCAGGAAGCACAGCTGCCTATGTTATAAAATGCATCCATTAGCCCATGGAAGGCTGTTCTGTCTTGGTAATCCAGGATGGCCAGTAGCTTTTATCAAAGTTGTTTAAAATACTAAATATTCTGTGGAATTTTTTCTTCAAAAATTCCTTCATAATAGATGGTGGAAGCTGTACAGCAGTTATCATAAATGAACTCTATGTGCACATGCCTCCAGTTACATCTCCAAACAGTGGAAAAGACAGCTTTCCAATTTCCCATCTCTGCAGAGTTTTGGAATTCACAAAACAATGCTTCGTATTGTTGAGGGATGCTTCAATATGTAGTTAAGGAAGGATGGCCTGAGTGAATTGCACACGTCTCAGGATTGGGGTTTCTCCTGGGAAGAGAAACGGAATACAGGCCTAACGACAAACTCCAGTGATATTTGATAGCATTTCATTCCGAAAAATATCCGAAGCAAAATGGCCAGTCACATCTGTGAAATGTGGATCGTGGGCACCTGATATATGTATAGTTTCATGTACTTTCCTACAACAGTTTTAAATATTTTATAAGTAGCAGAAAAGAACCTTCTCAAGTCCCTTTGATAATGGTAGATTTTGCTCCGGCTGGTCTTGATGAAGCTTTCACTGTCTATTGAATTTGTGGCATTTAATTAGCGGCTACGCCATTACCCTCTGTTACATGAACTTGCTAATTCTCTGCCTCATTGATACTTGAAATAGCTTGTGAAGCACTTTTACCTGTCGTTGGTCATTGTACAAATGGTAGACATTTCTAGTTGAATTTTTTTTTTTTTAGATTTATTTTTTTATTGGTAAGTCAGAAACACAGAGAGGAGGAGAGATAGAGAAGAAGATCTTCTGTCCATTGAGTCATTCCCCAGGCAGCCACAACAGCCAGTGTTGCGCCAATCTGAAGCCAGGAGCCCAGAGCCTTTTTGGGTCACCCATGCAGGTGCAAGGTCCCAAGGCTTTGGGCCATCCTCTACTGCTTTCCCAGGCCACAGGCAGGGAGCTGGATGGGAAGCAGAGCCACCTGGATGAGAACCAGTGCCCATAAGGAATCCTGGTGTGTTCAAGGTGAGGACTCTAGCCACTAGGCCACGGCGCTGGGCCCCAAACAATTACTCTTAGTGCTGAAATATTTCTTGTAAATTTTACGTCCCTTTTTTTCTGAATTGATTGCAGATTTAAGAAACTGCTCAGCTACTGTCATTGGATGCTTGGTGTAGCGATGTGAGAAGGGAGAGGGAAGGCAGGTGCAGGGCTAATGACTCTGCTGGGTACATCTGTGCAGCTGTGTGGCGACTTGTTTTCTGACCATACCAATACAACTCTCCTCTTTTTTCTCCCCAGGCTACCTTCAGTAAGATTCCCATTGGATTCATCCCACTAGGGCAGACAAGTAGTTTGAGTCCCACCCTCTTTGCCAAAAGTGGAAATAAAGTCCAGTAGGTTTTCAGTGTGGAATATTAGCATTTATGAATGAACAGGCCTGAGAATGAAATGTTCATGTGTGTGTGCGCATGTGTATTTTGAATTGCCTAAACCTTCATCTGATTGAATCGCCTGTGTCAGCTCTGCATTCCATTTCATTGGGAAGTTTCTCAGTTGGAACTCTGGTCTAAGTCCCCTGGTCAGACGTGGGTCTGCTGTGTCCCTGGTCCCAACTCTGTGCATTTTCATAAGAGACTGCAGCGAAGGCGGATTTGTGCTATTTGTTTGCTTTGAATATACACAGTGACAGATAACGAGTTCCTTTGAACACTAACTTGGTAGCTTTGGCTTCTCTAGGTTGATACCGAATATTGCTAAAAGAACAAAGTACAGTTGTGTCCTTTTGGCTTGCTGGGAGTGGTAGGAATCAGGGACAAAGTTGTCAGAAAGCTGCATAGCTTTGCATGTAAATTAGATTGCTGTGAGTCTGACCATGCCAGTCAAATTGTCACCATCGTCCTTTTTTGCTTGAAAGCATTGTGTACACTGAGGAATCTTGGATTCCTGGCTTTCACAGTGGAGAATACTATCAACTAGAGCAAATATTGGTTAAGAAGATCTGAATAATTATTGGAAAGGAGTCTGACATCAGCTGCATCTTTAAGCTTTGAGATACATTGGGAAAAATCAATAAGTAAATGCTGGTTAGATGGATTAAGATTTTCTCGTAACTTTCTTGTTTTAACCATCTAGAATTTGTGTTAATATTTACTTTTTATGTATGGATTCTTCATTTGGAGTTCCTTGACTGGGTTATTTTTGTGAACTCATTTTTGTTGTGTTTTTCATACAAGTCTTGGTCCATACACCAAACACTAGGCATACACACACTTAGGATATTTATCATGCTTTCATTCAAGTTTCTGATGTGATCCAAAAAAATTGTTTTTTAAGATCTTTTTTTACTTGAAAGAGTTAGAGAGAAGGAAAGGCAGAGAGAGAGGCCTTCCATCCACCAACTTACTTCCCAAATGGCCACAACAGTTAGAGCTTACCCCATCTGAAGCCAGGAACTGCAGGGTCCAGGATGCAGAGCCCAGGGCTTGTGCCATCCTCTGCTACTTTTTCAGGCTGTAAGCGGTGAGCTGCATCTGAGGAGAAGCAGCTGGAATATGAACTGGCATCCATCTGGGATGCACTGCCATAGGTGGAGGCTTAGCCTACTATACCATGACGTTGTCCCCTCAAGATTCAAACTTTATTTACTCACCAGACATGTTGAGGCCTGTCTAATAGATCATTTCAATTCACTATACATTTTATTTGTAATTTACAAGTTTTGAGCAGCTGTATAGAATAATGCTGAAAATTCACATATTTTTGCTTACATGAGATGAATTTTACCTGGTTGGGTTTTGGCTATGTTAAAGAGCTTATACTTTCCTTGGGTCAGGATAGATTATTTGAACTGCTTTTAGCAAACATTTTCAAAAACAAATGTCCATGATCAGACATGCAGCATTTTCCTTGGAGAGACCCTGCCCCTCCAAAAGCCAAATTATGGGCAGTGTAGCAAGCCTCTGGCTCAGAGGGTTGTGGGAGCTGCTTATACCCCGTAATTAAACTAATGTAGTTGTGGTTTCTATTTATAATTTAAAGATTTTCTAAAACTGAATTTATTAACATGCCCCAGGGCTCTTAGGCAATCAAGTAAGTCATTGCTGGGCTCAGGATTTAATAGGTTTCTTGGCATGGCACATGCCTCAGGCTATCTGAAAAGAACAAGGCTTTGCTCTTTGTAGGGGTGTCAAGGTTTGTTGTCTCATAATTACTACAAAAGAAAAAGAATCCTGAATTTGAAATGTCGTAGTAAATAACCCTGAAAGTGCTGTTCCCTGCCGTATGCTGCTTTGTTGAGCACTTTTTGTTGGAGAGTGATAAATTTAAGGTTTTATTTTGTTGGCCTCTGCTAAGCAATTTAGGGGGAAAGTTCTTCAGTTGTGGTTTTAAGATCGCTCTAAGACACTAAACCTCCTTAACAGCGTGTTAAGATGAACTGCCTTAGGATCCTTTCTGATAGCTTCCTTCAGAACTCACATGTTCAACAAAACTAATCTAAACTTGTGAACATGCTGCTTTCTTTTTAAACCAGATCTTGTTTTTAACTGCTTCCTCCTTCCCAGACAGGATTTGATTGGGGGGGGAAGGGAGATATGGGATACAAGTTGGTTGCTAAAGGAAGAGAGAAAGCATAATGGTTTCCAATTGCTTATCAGAGAACTGAGATTTTAAGCCTTCAAGAGCGTAATGGTGCTCGCTTCGGCCGCACACATATTAAATTGGAACGATAGAGAAGATTAGCATGGCCCCTGCGCAAGAGCATAATGTTTTCAGGATTTTCAACTTTCCTAAATTCTGCCAGATTGATTTCAGTTGACGAAGTTCCTGGCCTATGTGATTGCATTTTAAGCCTGACGATCTTGATGGGGTCACGGTCAGGGTGTCAGCAGCACAGGACACGGAGGACACGGGTTTTAGATGTGGGACCATGCTCTGAGACTCCATAGATTGGCCATTCGAGAAGCCCAGGGCGGCCTCCGGGGAAGAGTGCCCACCTTTGGAGTTGCACCTAAAGTCAGATGTGACTTTTCCCCATGCTTGCTGTGTCACTGTGGGGATTTAATGTAAGCTTTCTGAGCCTCCTTTGGTCTGCCTGTTTATCAGATGCATAATAATAGTAATTGAGAACATGGGGAAAATGCTGGCTGCTAATAAAGTACTACGCTAATCACCTCTCAGATTTTTTGAAATTCGCTTAGGAAGAACAGAAGTTGATAGTAAAGAGAATAACTGCATTTTGTGATTCTAGATTTTATCATTCAAACAAATATAATCAAGGCCACAGCAGTTTCCATTCATGTTGATAACTAACTCGCCTAGAAAAGGTGATATTTTTATAAGGATCATTTTATAGCTATTCCAGTCAGGTGCCATAGAAAGATGAATTATTCTACGAAATTCATGTTGTTAACCAGGTCTTACACATGAGGCTAAAAGTTGTTCTTTTTGTGAATGGAAAATAATTTAAATGACTACTATCTTGTGGCTTAAACTGCAGACAGAATATTCACTTTATTAATATTAATTTGTCTAGAAATAATTATGTAACGGTAATAAGGTAGAATAGTCACATAGCGACAACATTGGTAAATGTTTGTAAGACACACTGAAGTACCTGGGGATGAGTCCAATGGAATATGCTGACAAGTGCAACTCTTGGGAAAGAGAAGTCAAGATGACTGAAATCAAGGTATTAGCCATGATTCCAGATAGTGTGGCACGGTACTAAGATGTCTCTTCTGTCAGGAGCAACTCCAGTGGTGGCCCTGAGACTGATCCCTGACCCTGCCATCCTGGACCCAGAGCCACCTTGAATACCTGTTTATCCAGCACTCTAGCACTACCTTAAATGCCCTAGGTCTCAGCCCTCTTAAGGCTCAGTTTCCTGAGTAAGCTTCACACTCTTTTAGGCTTAAGCCATGCTCCCACTAACCATGCTTAGGACCCCAAACGTGAGGCCCTCCTCCACCAATCCCCTGATTTATCCCTGGTGTCGACCTGTAGCCACTCTACCTGGTGGTTGTAAGGACACCTCTCCCCTTTGTTCTCCCTCTCCGTTCCCTCTGCCCCGTGGTTACCTTCCTGCCAAAATAAAGGACCTCTTCTGAGCCTGGCTCAGGATGCCTGGCTTCTTGGGTTTGTTGCGAAAATAGTAAGTTCTCTCCAATAGCCCTATAAATTCAGCACCACTCTCACTCATCTAGAGTTTCCAGGAGGATTTTTAGTAGGAATTTCCAAATTGATCCTACATTTATGTGAAAGAAATAAAGGAATTAGAAAAGCCAAAATAATTTTAAGAACAAAGCTTGAAGGCTTCTCAACTTACCCCGTCTCTTGAACTCTGTAAAACTACAGTAATCTTTAATAAATGCAAATTAAACCAAAGGAATGCATTTATTGGAATGGTTTACACACTCAAAAGAGCAATCAGTCCAAACTTGGAGTGCTAGGTATGTGCAGCAATTCAAACTCAAGGCACTTCAAGAAGTCTGTGGATAAATGATTCATTCCCAGTACGGAACTGCTTGGAATCTGTGCCTAAGTTTTTCATCATAGTATTTTTCATAAGCCTTTTGAAGGGCCCTTGCTTCTTTGCTGGGCAAAGTCAAAAACAGCCGAGCCCGGGGCCTGCTGCTGTGTGGGCGGAGGGCTGGCCAGGGTGGAGGGAGCGAGAACTGTAATTCTCTTCAGCCCTTGCCAGTGTATTTCTCTGTGATAACACCCTGTGTTTTTGGTGTGTCTAATCTTGTGTAATTAAAGTGTGAACTCTAGAATTGCTGGCGTAGTTAACATGCTGTGAATGGGTGTCAATAGTACATGTGTTCTGATTTGTTTTTTCCTATCGATTTTTAAATGACTTCTTGGGATATAAATAAGAATGCTTTTGTGTCTTTGCATGAAAGAATCATCAGTTAAAATGAAGCCTGCTTCCCAGTAATCTTGGAAAATAAGGGAACTGTATTTTGGGTAAACTACAACAAATCTGGTCTGGCTGTTTGAGTTAAAGGAGATGGTGTTTTTAGAAGCATGTCAGTTTCTTAATAGATTTTAAAAATTTCAGCATCGTATTTTCCAGTGTTTAGTATGCATTAGGCACAGAGATTCAATATGAAATAAATGGTGCCTTGTAAAAATTTCCTTGCCAGAGCCCAATTTCTGAGTCCTAATTGTAGCTTCCCATGAAATTTGAAACCACTAAACTTTTAATTAAAAAAAAAAAAATTCTTTCACTCTGCTTTCTTGAAGTATTTTGAAAGACTCTCTCCTGATCTGACTACTACACCAGGCAAAATTTTGTGTGTGTGTGTGTGTGTGTGTGTGTGGCCGTGTGTGTGGCCAAGGGAGGTGTTACTAACTTTTCCCAGCACATCATGCCCTTTCTGTTCTTTTTTAGACATATCACAGATGCCACACTTGCCATTGTGAAAGGAGAGACAGTCCCACTTGATGTGTTACAAATCAAGGTAAAAACATTTGGATTTTCAGAAATTATGGAATATACACATAGTATTACAGAAACGTATTTACTGGTTATGTTTCCTAAAGGTATTGAGCAGCAGCAGCAGTCAAGAGCAATGAGCATCTCCCAACCATTCATTGCCTAATAAAAACAATGAGGACTCTGAAGGAATGGCTTTCAGAGGCAGGGCAAGAACCAGGCAAAAACTACTGACCAACCTACGGGGACTTCACAGAGATACGGCAGCCAGCCTGATATCGCTCACTCGGTGGTTTTAGGATAGTTTGAATGCCAGAAAGAGTGATGTTAGTAATTATAATAGTTTAATTAAAAATAAAGAATCCCTGACTCTCCAGTAATAGTACAAAATAATGACTAGGCTGTTGGTATAGAAGGAGTGATAGAAAAAGAAAACTACCATGGTGGATTCAAAGTGCAGTAGGTGACTCAGGTAGGGGTTATTCATGAATGCTAAAACACTGAACAAGAAGCTGCTGAGAAACAATTTCCATGTAATCTCGAAAGTATCCAAGATGACTCAATAATTCAAAAGGGAAAAATAGGACTTAGCAGTGGAGAAATCTGATATTTGCCACTTTATCCAAGAGATCAAACATAAAATCGCTAGTAATAGGATCAGTTTCCTGTTGCAAACGTTACTAATCTGAATATAATGATGAAAAAAGTCAGACAAATCCAAATGTGGGATATTGTAAAAGCGGCTGGACTTTTCAGAATAATACTGATGTCACAAAATCCAAAGGAAGGTAGATGGTATGGTCAAGATTGTGAGAAACTAAAGAAATACAGCTAAATTGGGTTGGGAAAATAGACAGTCACAATTGCAAAAAAAATTGTTGGAATAATAAGAAAAATCTTAAACTTCATCCTAAATATATGCCTGGATAGGTTTTCTCAGTGCCAGAGGTGTTATGTCGCATATATGTGTGTGTGATCCCTCTTGGGAGAGGTATGCTGAAATATTTGGAGATGAAGAGTTAAAAAAGTAAAATTTACTTTCATTATTTTTTATTTAAAAGTTGTTTTTACAGACATACAAACTCATATATTATTTAGGCTACTGTTGTGTAACATCCAAGCAGGGCAAATATATTTGTTGCCTCAAATGTTTGCCATTCTTTGTGGTTAAAAAAAAAAAAAAAACCAAAATGATATCTTCTAGATTTAAGTAAAGATTTAGTACATTAACATCCTCGATAATCACGCTCCTGAGAATAGAGCTCCTTATTCTTCTGTAGCTTTGCACCTGTTCATTGATCTGTCTCCATCACTCCCTTCCCTGTCCCTTCTCCAGCTGCTGGTAACCGCCATGACCCCCGTGCTCTGTCTGGTCGCACATTCTTCTGACTCCACGGGATGAGTGTGATCGTGCAATGCTTGTGTTCTGTGTTTGCTTTATTTCACAATAATAGAGCTGGAGCTGGAATTCTACATACTAGAGATGGGATGCAGGTATCTCACGCAGCACTTTAAAAGATTTACTCACTTGTTTTAAGGCAGACTTTCAGAGAGAGTGTGCAAATCTTCCATCCTTGGTTCGCTCCCCAGATGTCTTCAATGGCCAAGGCTGGCCAAGCTGAAACCAGGAATTGAGAGCTGCTTCTGGTCTCCCATGTGGATGCGGGGACCCAAGGAACTGGGCCATCTTCGGCTTTCCCAGGCACTTTAGCAGAGAGCTGGATCAGAAGTGGAACAGTGGCTGGGTCTTGAACCATGTTGCAGGTAGTAGCTTTACTTGCAGTGCCACACCCCTGCCTCCCCACATCCCCACTACTTCCCTGCAACAACATAATTGCTACACCAAAAATCCACCCCAATGTGTGTGTGCTATGTTAAAACTACTTTGGGGTCCGGTGTGGTAGCCTAGCAGCTAAAGTCCTCGCCTTGAATGCACTGGGATCCCATATGGGCACCGTTTCTAATCCCAGCAGCCCTGCTTCCCTTCCAGCTTCCTGCCTGTGGCCTGTTGTCCTTTGCCTGACCCATCTGTCACTGTATCAGTGATATCCCCTAGTGGTTAGTAGTCACCCCTCCCATCAATATCTTTGAACTATTTGTTTTAATTTATTCTCCTCTTCTTGCTATTAGCTCCTCAATTGTTGATGCAAAGAAGAAAAATGAGAGAGAAATCTTTTTACTTCACAAATGGTGTTCTCTCTCTCTTCTGAGGTTGTGTATGATTTGTTTGGGATGCCTTCCCATGACATAGTTTTCTGATGTTTTCATAGTTTTCATCTTTTAAATTCCCAGGTCTGCTATTCTCCCTGGCGTCTTACTGTTTGGGTCCGAAGGCCCCTGAGCCAGTGTGTCAGGATGGCCCAGTTGCCCGTTGTAGCCCGCATTATGCACTCGGCACCCAGAGACACACATGTCCTCAATGTACCAGCGAGGTGTGTTCCATCCTCTCTTCACCCTGCTGCCTCTCCCCTTTCCCTCTGGCCAAGCAGATGCTGAGCAGAGTAGCACATCTAAGTGGGCGCACGGTGCAGGGAAGAGAGGCCAGCATCTTTTTTCATCTAGGTTTCTCCTGTTCCTGTTTCTTCGCTCGGTTTTGGCAGAGTTGGGATGGGAGTGGAGTAGGGTTGGAGGGTGCACCCACTTCCCTAAGGAGAAGGCTTAGCATATTTCTCTAGGAAAGCAACTTCCATGCCCACGATGCTCCTCTAGGTCTTCATTTTCTGCTTAGCCTGGTTGTGGTGGGGTGATGACGTGCAGGCTAAGGTGCTTCTTGCAAAATAAACCTAGCCAGCAAATCTTCGTGAAGCAATTGAAAGAGCTCCCAGCCTCTCATCTTCTCCCCAGATGCTCCTCCCAGCCAGCACAGCGCTAGGGCTGAGGCCAAAACCTAGGAACACACTGGAGGTCTCCCCCGTGGGAGCAGGAACCCGTTAACTTGAACTGCACTCTCCAGGGTTTGCCTAGATGGGTACCTACCCAGGCTCTGACGTGGCAGGTGAGCCCTGAGCACGGAGCTCGGGGTCTGCTCTGACCTCTCAGTGGCTTTTGTAGAGGACTTGCTTGCTCTCTGTCAGTTTTCAGCTCTTGAGCCTTAAGTACAACCCCGAGCTTCGGGAAAAAATCCCATCTAAAACCCTGGTTATTACTGTGCTTTAAGGAAGGTTGCCTGTGGACTCTTAACTCTCAGGGGCAGTAGCTTTATTGTTTAGTTTTTCTATATAATTCACTGATTATGATGAGTTGCTTTATTCACTGATATGCTAGAACCTTGCCAGCTGTAATATGATGCATTCTTTGACTATAAAGCTTTGGACTAAATTCAAATCACTTTTCATGATGTGTGTGACAAGTATTTGTTCAGATAGTTGAGTAAAATTTCTTTTGTTGTATAAATTTTGTATTTGAGACTTTTTACATATTCAAGTAAAATATTCTAAAGTATCAAGATTCTGATCTCACCTGAGGACTCTAGGCCTTCTCAAAAGACTGTGTCCTTAAATTATCTTTTTGTTGGACAAGTGTAAGGTACTTCCAAAAGTTCATGGAAAAGTGGAACTAAAAGATGCTTATATAAAAGAAAAGAAATTTTGATTAACGTAGGTGTTCCTTAATTGGCGGTTTGAGGTGTGACGGGATGTTCTCTCAGCAGCAGAGTCATGAGAACTGATCCATCCCATCCTCTCTTCTTGCAATGCCATCGTCATGTGCCTTTGCTGAGCCCGCACAGGGTTCGTTTCTTTAGAGCTTAAACATGCTTTTTAGAATCTGTGTGTGACAAAGTAGGCCACGGCCATTCGGTGGGTGCCTGCATGTGGCGAGTTCCATCCTGCTGCAATCATGAATCTAAATGAAATGTCTTTGGTTTGCAGGGTGAAAAGGAGCAGCCTGTGTTTGCAGTGACGGGCCTTCGCTGGGGATCCTTCCGAGATGCCGGGGCCAGAGTTAGCAAGTAAAGGAGGACGATGCTGATGTGTTTTCTGCCCCGGCCTTTGAGTGTTTAATATGCAGTGATCACGTGGGGATGAGCCTGATGGGCTTAGAGGTTGAATTACGTGTGAATCATGGCACAGATGCAGTCAGGTGGAGGGTAACATCCCAGGGCACAAAAGCTGGGAGAAGCTCCTATTTGCTTGGCTCCAGCTTGGTGGTGGTTAAAGAGAAGCGCATGTGCCTCTCTTCAGAGAACCTCCTGCGTGTGAGTGTAGTTTAGGCTCAACACTAGACTGAGGGGGAGAGCAGGATTCCCTGTCGTCCTGCCTGATATGCGAAGGCACCAAGCGAAGGCATGGCCTGTGCCAGTAACGCTGTGGAGCTCAGATGGTCCGGACTCAGCGTTTTCTAGAGAGCTGGGTGCTTTGCTCTATGCTGAAAGCCTGCCAGATGCCTAGCTGTGTTATGACCTAGAAGATGAAGACCTGTCATGTGACTGGCTTTTCATGGAAATCTGCTGTGGGAATGGAAAGTCTTGGCCTGGAAAGAGGGTGTAACTGGGTCCACTGACGCAGAGGTAGAGCTGGAGACGCTGAGTTAAGCTCGCTTCATGCCTGGTGGGGGGTGGTTTTTCTTAAAACCAAAAGCTTCCAGTTCTGCTATGGTCTAAATGAATTACAACTGGGTCTTCCACAGTTATCATCAAGAAATGGCTCTTACTATTTCATAGGCCAGCCTGCCACACAGACTCCAAAAATGTATCACTTGCTTCACTTTATTTCTGCTAATGAAATCCCTGACAGTGAAATGTGAGAGAGATGCTACTGTGCTATATTACACACTGGATTTTTGACTTTCACATTTTTTTTTAACTTATGTATTCCATGATATAGTTCCAAAGGCTCTGAGACTCCCCAGCACCTCCCAACCCCCACTCCTGGTCTCCCCTATTTTATTACAACAATATAGTCTTTCAGAACAGTTGTAAGTCCATCGTTCTGTTTACGTATGTCCTGACTTTGTAGGCATGGAGGGTAGCAGAGTCCAGGATCCCACTGTCACATCTTGATTTTCAGATATACTTGTTGATTCTACAAATTACCTTGTGTTTGATCTACAACCTCAAATTTGAGGAGCTTCCCAAGAGAAATTGTTAATAATTCCCTGAGAAAGTCTCATGAGAACAAACTGCTTTTCCAAATGCTTTAATTAATAAGCACAGGTTTCCTTACTGGCCACAGGAAGGCTACAAGCAAAGTGTCAACATTTGCTACCAGTAAAGGTCCCAGTGTGGTAGCCTAATGGCCCAAGTCCTTGCCTTGCATGAACCAGAGTCCCATATGGGAGCCGGTTTGAATCCCAGTGGCCCCACTTCCCATCCAGCTCCCTGCTTGTGGCCTGGGAAAGCAGTAGAGGATGACCCAAAGCCTGGGGACTGCACCCACATGGGAGACCCGGAAGAGGATCCTAGCACAGCTCCGGCCGTTGCAGTCACTTGGGAAGTGAATCCATGGACGGAAGATCTTCCTCTCTGTCTCTTCTCTCTGTGTTTCTGATTTTTCAATAAAAAATAAATCTTTTTTAAAAAATGCTACCAGCAAAAATGAAAGAAAGTGCCGACAATTTAGAAATTAACCAGCTGGGTTACATTTTTTCCTCTTGGCTAGCTCTTTTTGTTTGTTTTTAAAGCAGGCTATAAAATCAGTTTACAGATACGTATATGTACAGAAGATGAAGGTTGCTGCTGGCGTCACAGTGTCAGGCTGGATGACAGCATTCCAGTGCGCAACCGGATTAAATCCACACTCCTTATTTCAGTTCTGCAGACACAGTTGGATCTGTTTTTACACTCCTGTATCTCATTCGAAGTTCTTCCTGCTGTCTAGCTTTTATTCTCAGCTTCTGTGCCTTCGCCCCTCCGCTCATCTAGAATGATTTCCTCCTCTGCTTCATGTCTTCAAATCTGAGTTCCACCGTTTTGCTTTTTCCTTGTGCTTTTCCTTTTTCTGAGCATGGCTGCCCCAGTGATTTGAGATCCCTCACCGCTTTGTCCTGTCTGAACTCCCCTTGCCAATAAGCAGCCAGCAGTTTACACTATGCCATTGTAGTCATCTTTCTATTCTTGTTTCTTCAGATTATAAGCACCCAATGGTAAAAATCTTACACTGTGAACTTACGGTTTCTTTTATGTACATAGAGCAGGTGCTAGGTCAGCACATGATGACGTAATGACCAGAACCAACAGAGTCCAGATGGGGCTGTTGGTAACAGAGGAATCCTTTATGTATTACTGTCTGATTCCCGCTAAGCATCTTCCTGGCGTCCGTCGCTTTTGGGTAAATTTAGCCTTCAGTAAATCCTCTTCATTCCTAGATGTAATCCTTGACATTTCAGAGCTTTATAACATGAGTAACATGAACTCCTCCCGATCCACATGTTTTGTCTCTGCATGCATCAGGGAATGGGGCACAAGACCCAGTTATGGAGCTTGTACGTAATGTGTTAGGTGATAACGCACGTACATCTCTGTGACCGTACCGTCCTCTGTGATGCTTTGAAGTATAGAGTACTCAACTCCATTCTGTGGTTTGTGGTTGAAGGTCAGTGTCAGAGTGAATCTGGCAAATTTAAGGACACAAGGACGCTGATTATACATTCCTGATAAATTGCAAGAATATTTCTGCTAATTACATACTGTTGGATGTTGCATTGAAATGCAAATTAAGAATTTACTGTATTTCCCTTGTGCTCAGTCATGATCTCTAAGCTTCCAGAGCAGCTTCTCACAGAAGAGGTGTAAATCTTTTTATTGGAAAGGCAGATTTACAGAGAGGAGAAATGGAGGGACATCTTTCATCTGTTAGTTCACTCCCCCAAATGGCTGGATCGGCTGGAGCTGAGCTGACGTGAAGCCACGAATCAGGAGCTTCTTACATCTCCCCAAGGGTGCAGGGTCCCAAAGACTTGAGCCATCCTCCACTGCTTTCCTGGGCTATAAGGAGGGAACTACATTGGAAGTGGAGCAGCCAGCACTAGATGAGGCACCCATCTGGGACGCTGGTGCTGACAGGTGGAGGATTAGCATGTCGAGCCACTGTGCCAGCTCCTAGAGGTGTACTTCTAATTTATTATCTGTCATGAATAGTTGTTTTCATTCTAAACATGTGTTTATCTTGGTCTTTCCCAGGTACTGGTATCTTGGACCTCTGAAAATCAAAGCTGCCCACTTTTTGAGCACTCTTAAGGTAAACACAGTTTGTCATATAAAGACTTGCTATATATTTTGTTTCTCGGATGTGTTAATTCGGAACATTTTAAAGTTTTTCTGGAGATGCGCGTGATATGCTTTAGCATTAAAATGGACATTTTGGTCCTAAGTAAACTTGAAAAGCATTACCCTCAAGTACCAGCTTTTTGCTCCAATGATTAAGCACATATTGATTTCTCTCTTTTAAAAATTTATTTTTGGAAGGCATAGTGAGACACAAATCCATGCTATATCTATACACACGTGCGCATGCACACACACAATCTTTCCTCCATTGATTCACAGTCCAGTTTCCTGCAACAGCCAGGGCTGGACCCAGCCAGGCCCAAGATCCAGGAGTTCCATCTGCATCTTCCATGAGGGTGGCAGGAATCCAAGGACCTGGGCCGCCATCTGCTGCCTCCCAGGCACAACAGCAGGAAACGGTTGGGAAGCATGGACTAATCAGTAGTCCTGATTGAAATGTGGGCGTTCAAGTGGTAGCTTAACCCACTGTGCCACAATAGGCGCTCCTGAAGCTTTCATACTCTGCTTTGTTTGGGCTTACTCTTCTCAGACAGAATTTGAGCAGAATGACATGTTTCATTAATTTTTTGTGCATCTGTATTTCTAAATATAAATGAATATTGATATCAGAATATATCTAATTACACAGGCTTGCATGTTTTATTAAATTTCAAACCATACTACTGAATTATGGGAAATTATTACTACACTAAATAAGCACCTATATAGAAGATTTCCACTATCTAAGAAAATTCTATTGGACATTACTACTGTGTTGATACAGAGAAAAGCTCAGCAATTTATATGAACTGTTAATGGAGGGATTATCTGTGACACTGGACTATGCATTCATCTTTTATACAAATAAAGTAGTATACTCACAGTTTGTCATCTGACTATTGGCAGAAAAAAAATTTAATATAGTGAGAAGTTTGGCTCCAATGTTAGTATCTGGGAGTTATCAATTTTTTTCAATTATAGAAATACTTGTCATAATAATAGTCCCCTTGCCTTACAAAAAGGCTCCAGTTTAAAATATTAAATGTAAAAACTAAAAGCACTACATGTAAATCTACATGATTTTTACAACAGATTCCAGAGATTAGAGCCTTTCTAGACATGAGGTCAGGCGGATAAATGTGTTACTCAGGAACAGGTTCGCTGGTGGATAGACTATGTTTGGAAGAAAGACTGGCTATGTATTTAAATGGCAGCACCTGGGAAATAGCAACAACACTGATTTAGCAAACAGCTACTGATATGTTCAAATTCAAATCGGACAGCTCGCCTGCCCTCAGGAAGTATTTCTGTGAGGGAGAAGAGGTGAAGTCAGTAGATGGGCAGTTTGGCAAGTTCTGGGAGAGAAGTATAAAGACGGAGGTCGCAGTCGAGAGGAGGGCCCTTGAAATCTGACGGAGGTCAGGAAGTTCTTCTGGGTGTAGTGATGCTTATGGTAACTTTGATAATACACAGATGGGACTAGGCGGAGGAAATTCCAGGAAGGAGGCAGGATGTGCCTTGGTGCTTCAACATGGTCACTGATAGCAGAGTGACAGGCAGCTGTGGAGTCAGGAAGGAGCAGGCTGGGGCAGGCTGGGCTTTGCTGTGCTTAGACCCTTAAAGCCCTGCCAAGTTAGTCTCAAGCAGAGGTGTGGCATGAGCATATTTGGATTTAAAAAAAGAAAACTGTTTGCCAATAATGTGGACAAGAGACTGCGTGTGAGTAGCTAAAGGCAAGGGCATCAGATCTGATTGTTAACGTGATCAGATATGAACCAGGGGAGGGGTAGATATGGACTGAAGAGGTAACAGTGAGTGACGATAGTGAATGCATTGAAGAGCAGAGGGAGAAGGCTGGAAGACCGTGAAAGGATGTAGGCTTGTCCGCGTTTGGTTTGTGGGATTTGGGCTGAATTGGAAATCTAACCCAAACTTTACCAGCCTCAATTGGCTTCATTCCATTGTTGTGTCAGCATCCATAAACCAGTCATAAAGTTAAGTCTTTTGGACAAGTTTAAGCAGTGGTTGTTAATCCACTTCAGTTTCCTCCCTGCTCTGAGAAATACAGGCAGCTGTGCCTGAATCCATGGCTTTCAAGAATGAACTTCAGCATGAAAAGAACACTTGAGTGTTCCGGGCACCAAGAGATTATCAGCTTCCTAGCAAGTGTAGGTATAACAGACTCCCAGATGTAGGAATTGTGTGCGATGAAGTGTTTCTCTTCACCTTAAAGGAGTGGCCTCAGACGCATCAAGCCTCCATCTCGTACACGGGGCCTACAGCAAGACCTCCAAGTGAACCAGAAGAGACCCGTCCCCGGCCTTCTTTGTACAGGAGGATATTACGAAGGCTGGCCTCATACTGGGCACAGCCGCAGGATGGTGAGCAGCCTGGTGACTTAAGGGAGACCAGTTGTTTCAGGAGGGCCTAAACCAGAACCCCCAAAAAATCAGTTTTGGAGACTAAACTGCCTTAGGGGAAGCTTGTGAAGGATTGCTGCAGTCAGTCTAATGTAGCCACTAGCATAGGCCACACCAGGGCCCAGGGATGGGCATCGGAGTTTGCGCCCTCTGTCCGTGCCACGTATGCTTTCACAGCTGTTTTTGATAGGAATGTTTCAGGCCTAGAGATACCATCTTGAGCTTGGCTCTTTACCCCTTGTATAGAAGAATGAAAAACTGGGATAGTTTGGCCTGGTTTGATGGCCTAGTGGCTAAAGTCCTCGCCTTGCATGCACCAGGATCCCATATGGGCACTGGTTCGTGCCCCAGTTGCTCCACTTCCCATCCAACTCCCTGTTTGTGGCCTGGGAAAGCAATCGAGGACAGCCCAAAGCTTTGGGACCCTGCACCCACATGGGAGACCTGGGAGAAGGTCCTGGCTCCTGGCTTCAGATCAGCTTGATTCTGGCCATTGATGCTACTTGGAGAGTGAACCAGACAATGGAATATCTTTCTGTCTCTCCTCTCTGTATATCTGCCTTTCTAGTAAAAAATAAATCTTTTTTAAAACATTTAAAAAAAAATAAAATTGGGGTAGTTAAAAGAATGAGATAAAACGGGTAGTGCATTCAGCTTTGATTTGAGGAGCTAAATGAAGTGTTGCTGGTAGTAGGTGGGGAGTTGTTTACGGAAGAAGCTGTCTTGCATCTTCTGCTTTTGCACAGCCCTCTCCCAGGTGAGCCCAGAGGTTTGGCAAGAATTACAGCTTTCCACTATCGAGCTGTCCATCACAACTCGGAACAGCCAGCTTGACCTGACAGTAAGTACACTTTTGCTTTAGGGAAGCATCTGGCAAAACTGACTGAGGCCACACGTTCTTACGCTAATTCATTTAACTCATGTGGGTGGATGGGAAAGCAGCAGGGAGCAATGAGAATGTGTGTGTCTGTTAAGCAGTAATGGCAGTGTGAAGTGCAGAGGTGTGGGGGGGAGCTTGGCTGGTTCTGCCTGAGTGATCCTCCATTGCTTAGCTGACCTGCAGAGGGATTAGAGCAGAAGGCCTGTGGAGGTGAAGTTATCTGCGCCTTTGGGTGCTGTGGTATAGTGAGTTAAACTTCCATCTGGGGCACTGGCATCTCATATGGATGACAGTTCATTTCCTAGCTGCTGCACTTCTGATCCAGCTCCCTGCTAATGCGTCTGAGAAAACAGCAAGGGGCGGCCCAAGTGCTTGGCCCCTGCTGAGAAGCTCAGAAGCAGCTCCTAGCTTCTGTGGCCATCTGCGGGGAGTGGACCAGCAGATGGAGGAGCTCTCTCCCTCGCTGTAACTCTGCCTTCCAAATAGAACAAATCCCATTTGTCACTGGCATATAAAAAAGTACGGAAAGTATACCTAAGTAAATACAGATTTTTAAATGATTGAGCCCTTTTTAAAAAAGTTTTAAAAGACACAGCTCCCATGCACTAGTTCAGTCCCCAGATGCTTGCAATGAATTCATCCTGGTCTCCCCGTTGGGTGGCAACCAGGCAGTGTCCGAGCAGCAGGCAGGCGGAGTCGGCAGCTGCAGGGCTGAGAATCAAACCCAGGAGCTCTAATATGGGCTGCAGGCGTCTAGCCAGACTCGTAACCACTGCCAAATACCTACGCTGACAGCCAGTATCTCTGTGAACATGTTAAGTACCTAACTTTGGAGCATGATAATACACATCTATACATGCCTAAGTGTGCATTCAGACATGATTTTATTTTGGTCCTGTCTGTAAAGATGCATGGTATAATATGGTATTCATTAGCCATATGCTAGCTGTCTAAATTTAAATTGATTATAATTAAAATTTAAAACTCAGTTCATCAGTCACATTAGCCACATGTCAGTGCTCAGTGGCCATATGGGCTGTAACTAGCCTCTGTTGAAGACATTTACATCAGTGAAGAAAGCTATAGCAGCTAGTGCTGCCATAGCACGCTGACAATAAGTTGAAATAAGAATTGGCAGACTGGTCTGACATGTGCTTTTGTATAGCCCAGAAGCTAAGAATTGATTTTCTAATTTTAAATGATGGAAAGAAAGTGAAAAGAATACTGTTTTATGATAGCTGAGTTTAAGTTTCAGTGTCTATGAAGTTCTATCACAGTATGGCCACGTTGGGCCCAGCACGATCGCTTAGTGGCTGAAGTCCTCACCTTGAGCATGCCAGAATCCCATGTGGGCACTGGTTCTAACCCTGGCAGCCCCACTTGCCATTCAGCTCCCTGCTTATGGCCTGGAAAAGCAGTTGAGGACGGCCCAAGGCCTTGGGGCCCTGCACCCATATGGGAGACCTGGAAGAGCTCCTGGCTTCTGAATGGTTCAGCTCCGGCCTTTGTAGTCACTTGGGGAGTGAATCATCGGGCAGAAGATCTTTCTCTCTGTTTCTCCTCCTCTCTATATATAATCAGACTTTACAATAAAAATAAATCTTTACCATAGATGTGGCTGTTCTACAAAGGCAGAGGTGAAGAGTTGGAACAGAGGCGATTTGGTCCAAAAGCATAAAACATTTATTCTTTGGCCATTTGCAAAAAAAAAAATTCTGACCCTCCCCCCATTAATGGAAAACTCAATTAGTTTACATTAATGAGGATGCCAATGATAGTCATTCTTAACTGTGGACTAATTACTCAGCTGTTATGCAAATGAAAATAGTATGTTCACTGTTGTCCTGGCCAATCTGAAAATAGGCAGATGGAGTTGGAATGTAGTGAGAAGTTTGATTCCAATATTAATATTCAGAGAACTGAGTTTTCTAATTATACTCGTAGAATACATGTCCATTGCAACATTTGGAAAATGTAGCTTTTATCTTCTACTTAAAAATCCACTTGAATTAAAGATAAATTAAAAAACCATTGAAGTAACAGAAATCTAAGTGTTTATTGGTATAAACTTGGAGAGAACAAGGGTTTTTTTTTTTTAAGCAAGGGTTTTTTTTTTTTTAAGCATGGCACCTAAGGTAAAACTTGTATTACTGCATTTTTCAACTTATTAAAAGATGCTATAAACTTTTTAATGAAAAATTACTTCAGTAAAAATCATTCAGTAGCAATTGGCAAACATAAAAAGTGGGCAAAAAAAAATACAGCTTTGACAAAAGATGTAATTGTGTGAAAGCTTGCTAGATATGTGTAAAATTCTTAGGACAGTACATGCTAACTTATTCTTTACAGGTTTTGTCTGCATTTTAAGGTAAGAAAACATGTGCTCAGTGTTCAATGAACTACACGTGTACAACCTCTGAGCTGTCAGCTGTGTTCATGCGTGTGCTGCCGTAGCCAGCACAGTCATACATGCTACAAAGTGTGAAAGTGTTCAGTGAAAATGAGCAGTCTTAGAGTGATGATGGAATATAAACTGAAATGCCTTTTCTCCGTAGCAGCTTGTCCTGTTAAATGTATTTCTGGGAATTTGTTCTACAGAAACAAATCAAATGAATGCGTAACGTAAGCAGTCCTTTCTGTCTTAACAAAATGAATTCAGAAAATATTGGTAAAAGTGAGATTATGAAGGTTAAACAAAGTAGATTCCATCCCAGAAATATTTTAAAGAGAGAGATAAAATTTCTAATTACACATTCCTTTCCACTCATTCTTTGGTACTACCTATTCTTAGTGTTTTGTGCCTTTCTCTGGTGATTGAATACCAATGCACAGATTGAGTTTAATTAGGATATGATTGTAGCTCAAGATTAGCTACACTGAGAATCCAGTCATTTTTATCTTTGCACCAATTATAAGTATATGATACTGTGCTTCTTATCACTGAGTTTTTTTCTCACACTTCTTTATAAAAATAAAAGCAAATGCAATAAAATATTCAAAGACAACAAAGTTGCATGTAATAATCCAAAATGTTCACTTATTATTCAAAGAACTCGGAGGCTGAAGGAAGCTTTAGGAATGTGGGATTTGTGAAAATTGAGTTCTCTTGTACAACTATCGTTCACAGTATTTGCAAAATATAAGGAATAGGGTTCCTTATACTTTGAATCGATAACTTTAAGAATACATATTTGTAATTCCCTATGTGTTTGCATAGAAATATGCTGATCCTATCTTGTCAAGAACTAGGTGACAAATGGTTGCATTTTTGTTTTAGAAGGAAATACTCCCACCTGGTTTTGTATCTTATGGATGGTGGTGAATTGGCTCCAATTTCATGTTCTTTCCCAATAAAAAGCCTATTGCTAGGCCTTCAACCCAGAAATGGTCTAGACACTAGTTATGGAAATGTCCATTTTTCTCCCATTCGTCTTCACTGAGTGCCTCCCTGCACTGGGCGTGTATGTACTTGAAAATGGCTCTCAGCTCTCTAATGCTTTTTGTTCTGATATCCCATTTCTCCCAATACAGTATTCTTCTCCCCCCCCCCCTTAAAAAGTTGGCTGTTCTTAGCTCTTTGACTTCTGTAAATGTTTTAGAATGCTTGGTAAACTCAACATTAAAATATTATAATACAGACCTGGCTTACAGTATACCCATAGGTCAGTCTGAGGAGAAATAACATTTCTAGACACTGAATCGCCTAGCCAATGAATGCAGTAGAAGTCTTCCTTACAGGTCTTCAGTGTCCTTCAGTGAACCTTCAGAGTTTCCATACAGGATTCTGTCTTGCTGTATATATTCCTGATAACTTCTCAATACACTTACAGATGGTGTATCTTAGTTTCGTTTTTTATCTGATACAGTCGATGGGTGTGTAATTGATATTTACATTGATTCTAAATCGGCATCTAAATTTTTAGCCATTACATTCACTTTTTTGGTGGGTTCTGTTCAGTGTTGCAGAGAATTAGGCAAAATAAAATGGCAAACGGTGCCAAGTCTTACCTTCTCCTTTCCAGGTCTCACTCTCACGATCTTTACCTTCTTTCTGCACAGTGTTGCACAGAAGTGGTGCTAACAAGAATCCCTGGCTGCTGGATTTAGAGGAAAGTTTCATGAAGTTATTCTTCTTTCTCAGATTAAGGAAGTAGTCTTCTTGCTAATGGTTATTGTCTTTTGTCATAAACATCTTAGATGTTGCTTCATGTCAGATATCTTTATAGTGTCTTTAGAAGTGGTACAGTTTTCTCATTCAGTCTGCCTGTGTAGTAAGAATGCTTTAGAATGTTGATGTTAGACCTTGTCCAAGATGAAGCAAATGCTGGGCAGAATTACTGAAGCAGTTGTTGCTGGACAGGCGTCTGAGGCAGCAAAGGGCTGCTCCCAGGAAAGGAATCAGACCGGGCAAACTCAGTGTTTGTCCCACCTGCTGCTATAGAGACTAAAGCTTGCCGCAGGCTAAAAGCCAAGTGGTGTCCCTGTACTGAAAGGGGCTTTGAAGGCCTGGTGTGATAGTCTAGTAGCTAAATCTTGGGCTTGCACATGCCTTGGCCCATTTGGACGCTGGTTCTAATCCCAGGTGCTCCATTTCCCATCCAGCTCCCTGCTTGTGGCCTGGGAAAGCAGTCGAGGACGGCCCAAAGCCTTGGGACCCTGCATCTGCATGGGAGACCCAGAAGCTCCTGGCTTCAGATCAGCTCAGCTCTAGCCATTGTTGCTGCTTGAGGAGTGAACCAACAGATGGAAGATCTTTCTGTTTCTCTTTGTAAATGTGGCTTTCCAATAAAAATAAAAGAATTCGGAGAAATCACGGGATCTAGAAATGCAGAAGAGAGAACATAGAAGAGGGCTGTAGTGAGCAATGAGCCAGAGATCTGCAGAGTTAGTTCCTCTGGAGTCATCAGCTAATCCTTGCTGATATGTGCAGGTGGGAAAGCTCCTGAGGTGCAGAATTAATGACTGGCAGCCCACGTACAACCCTGGAGCTCCAAGGTGTCTCAGAGCCAGCAGTCCTGTGTGTTCCCCCCAGCAGAGCAGGAAACATGTTGGTGAGAGCTTGGAGCTCTAATTCAAGTAAGCATTGTCACTCACTGCAGAGTTAACAGCTGGGACAGGGAACTTGGGATCTGCAAACCTGGAACGTTCTCTTCCTGGCCCTTGACAAAAAGAGACTTTTCTCACAGTGCTGCTAAGTGGTAACTATCTTCCCTCTCCTTCATCTCCGTCATCCTTCAGCCTGGTGATGAGGTTCCCTTCCTTCCTCTCATCCCTGCTTTGGACTTTTCTTCCTACAGAGGCTCTCCAAGATTCTCCCTTGAGCGTTAATGTTCCATCACCAGACTGTATCACTGACTGAACCCTCGGTCATTTTCCATGATGCTCTTTCCTGGCTTATTGTCTCCCTCTCCATTCTACTGATGAACACAGCAAACAAAGGGATCCTAGTAAGATGAGGACTGAAGGTTTCTCCCCTCCCTTTCTGTGGCGCCCTCCAGTGGTTCTGTTTTACTCAATCTGAGAGCCTAGCTCTTAGAATGTTCTATAAGGGTCTCTTGATCAAGTGCCCCTCTCCCCCCGCCCCATCTCTTCCCGTTGTTCCCATGATGCCATTGCAGCCACACTGACCTCCTCACTGTTCACTGCACATGTCAGGCATCCTGTCACCTTAAGGACTCTGTTCAACAGTTCCTTCTGAGGGGCTATTCACCCCTGGGCCAATGGTGCTCAGAGTGTGGTCCTTAGATTCAGAGCAGGAGCAATGCCCAAGACTTGCTTGAGATGAAGATTCTTAGGCCTTTTCCAGTTCTTCTGAACCAAGAACTGAGTAAGAGGCCAGAGTCTGAGTTTGCCCTTGGGTGGAACAACAGAACTGTTACTGAGCCTGCTGGTGATCCCTGCCCTTGTTGTCTACATTGCTGGTTCATGCGCAGAAGTCATCTTCCCAACTGGACCCTTCTCCCATCGGTGCCACCTCCTTGTTCTATGTCTTTGGTCTTGTTTCTTGATCTACTGTAATTTAATTCAAGTGTACTTGTCTCCAAATACCCCACTTTATTATGGTTTCTCAGCTCTCCCGTTCCCTACAGTTGAATGTAAGTTCTTTGCAGGCAGAAATTTGTGTTTTTTATTAGCCTGACCCAAGCTCTACTTGGCACAATGTTGGCATTCATTAATTGCTTTTGAACAATGTTTCCCATTCTATGTCTTCTATGTTGAGAGATCATTGTTCTTTAGTTGTACCCTTAATCTTAAGTGAAGACTTTAGGCTCTCAGATGCCAATGGATTATGTAGGCCTCCAAAAGGAATTCCCCTTGAAGTGGTGGTATTAATTTGTAGGAGGCAAGATTTGCATGCTAACCATGGACAGGTAACAAATTGTGAGCAGTGGTATAAGAACAAAGTCTGTTTTCATAACTATTTCTTGTAACTATTTCTTAAATCTTTCAAAACTATCTCTGCCTAAAAAGTGTGAGTTCTTAAAACATTGTGGAACAAATGGATTGCTGATTTTCAACTCTGGTCACATGCCAAGGTTATGGAGATAGTATCGTAAAATAAAGCCAAATACTTGAGTTTCCCATACTGCGCAGTGATGGTCTGATGTGAGGACTGACTGGGGTTGGTGGGCAGAAGGCAAGGCCTACAAGAGGCTTCCTGGAGATTTGTCACGGCTCTGATCATCACTCAGTGGCAGAACTTCAAAACCTCCCATCTTGAGTTTTTATTTTGCTTACATGGAAAAAAAAAAAAACCAGCAAACTAAGACAAGCAAAGCAGATGAATTTTATGTAACTATGCTCTGGTAAGTCTTTAGATTGGGGGTGGGGGTGGAGGAGGACCCAAACTCTTCTGGATTACAACACTAGAATCCAGGTTTGCGCAATAATGCTGCTTCAAAATAGGAAGGTTCAGGGCTGAGGGAAGCAACAGGTGTACTAGCCAGGAGTACAGATGTTCACTTATTTATCCTCCCCAGAGCAAGGAAGATTTCATGAACATCTGCTTGGAGCCCGACACCATCAGCAAAGGAGACTTCATAACCACAGGGTAAGCGGGCAGGGGTCTGAGGGAAATGAGGCTGTGGGCATCTGAATTCCCGGGTTCTGCTGTAATCACAGTGTCCTGTGAAGCCCGAGAGAGAGTGCCCAGTGCAGGCCTTGTCCTGTTTGGGCTGACATGGTGTTTTTCCTGTGAACTGGTAGGTACGCTGCCCTTCTCCTGTTTGTTCTGGTACAACAGACTGTAAGAGCAGTTTTTGCCTCTTATAATTGAAATGACAGAATTAGCATAGTACGGCAGTATTATCAAGAACTTCGGTTTTAGGGTCAAAGGCCTGCATACAGATCTTAATTCTGGCCTTATGACACACCTCATTTAACTCTGAGTCCTTTGCCTGTAAAAAGGAGTAGTCATTCTTGCTGGTTCTAAACTGGTTTTCAGTCTCAAATGAGATGTGTGAAGAGTCTTTAAATTGTGCAGTACTTTAGAATATTCCTGGACTATTCATTCATGTCACTTCACCTTGTTGTCCTATACCCAAGGCATAAAGGAAAAACTTGAAAACATATTGAGTGCCTTAGAAATTTCCCAAGCTTTCATCCCTTTTCCAGTCCAGAACACCCTTCGCAGCGCAGCCTGATTCGTTGAGCCCTATCCCTGCCAGAATTTCATTGGCTAGGAATGCCGTCAGCCTCCACCGAGCACCCAAGGAGCCGGCTTGTTCCCATGCCAACTGGCAGCTGCTCAGGTCCGTTTTTCTTTGTCTCAGTGCTCCCCCTCGCGCCCACTGAGGAGTTCGACATTTCTGCGGCAGTGGCGGGGTCTCCATGGCTACGTCATTATCCGCACTAGCAGCGGCCGTGGCTTTCATCCCTCTGCACTGTGGCCCCTTTGGTGCAAGTTCTTCAGATGAATAGCTGCCCAGGCAGCCTTTGATTCGCTGGCTGCGTTTGCAGCTAAGAGAAAGCACACACTGCCTTTGCCGAGGGGCTACCCATACCCCAGTCACTCATGCTGACATCCGGGGGACGGGCCTCATGTTCCACGCTCTTGTGAGCAGAGGCACCAGTTTCCCGTTGGTCTTTAAAGGAACTGGAATCAAGTAGTATGTGTGCTTCCTTAGGATGTTTGAATAGAATATTACGAGGTTGCTTTTGGAAACAACCATTTTGTGAACTGAGGAATGAGAGTTGGGAATCAAGGGTAAGCAGTGGACTCACTGGGTGATCTACCTGTGTGCTTACTGTGCCTAGCTGCCGAGGGCATGTATGCACGAGCGTGCCTGGCGGTCACCATCCAGAAACAGAGTCGAGGTCAAAATGAACTGTATTGAATAGACTGTTACATAACGTAGAATTAAAGAAACCTCCCAAGACTAGTGTTCATTGGTATAAAATCTCATAATGAAAATACTTTCTCTAAGTAGTTCAAAAAAATAAGCAAAAATGCCAAATTTCTTTTATTAAGAATTTCATGTCATTCTAAATTTTGCATTTGAGATCAACAGCCTACAGATTAGATACAGATGGGATAGTTTAAACAGAAAATTCAGAGAAACTCACCCAGTCTTCATGGTTTGCATTCTCGATCTGGAAGGTCACTGTGGAGAAATTACCCACAGGACCCCACCGCTTAAAAGGCCACCTGTCTAGTAATTGTCTTACAGAAACGAGGAAAGAACTTGCTGTATCTTCCATCTAATGAAGTTGCCATTACAGGTTTTTGAAGTTTGCTTTTTCTTATACCCACAGAAGCAAAAAAGTGAAAGACCCCAGGCTGTGTGCTGAAGGTACGGAATGCCTGCAGGCCAGCCAGTGCACTCTGCAGCTTCCCGAGGTGAGCGGGCAGTGGTTCCAGGGCTGCGGGCACCTCGCCCTCTTCTTCCCTAGTCATCGAGCAAGCTTTAGGCAGCCATGACATGGCCAGCACACTGTCAGGTTCTGGGCCTTGTCTTATTTTATCTAGATAATCTTTACATAGCTGATTATGGCATCAAGGATCAAGGGCTACAAGAATGTGGGTAAGACCATTTTTCCACATTTTTTTCTGTATCTGGGGTAAGGAGGGAGATAAAGGAAGCCCCACTCGGCCTCCCCACACATCCCAGGGTCCCAGACATAGGGTTAGGCTCTGAGGGCATTGAATCCAACCTGACTTGGATACTCTGCACCCAGGCCCTGAGGTCGAACTGGTTCTGAGCCTTGTTACAGGAGACCTGGAAAGGCAGACAGAATCCCTTACTGAATTGCAGAATGATGATGTTGGCCTCCAGAAGATGTGTAGTGTTTTCCCGTCGGGGTGCTTCTGCAAAGTGAAGATTAGAGCTCCCGACCATTCTGTGTGCCATGTGCAAACAGGCCAGAGCTTCCTGGGCTCCATGGAGAACCCGTTAGCTGGCAAAAATCAACAATGAACTTTAACATCTTTCATTAAGAATCAAAGTATTTGGGTACTGTGTTTTTCTGGTGTGAAATGCCACACTTAAGAACATAACCTAGGTTGGAGAAAAAGTCGGGACCTCTAATCTGAATTTTAAGATTAGTAATACTATAGATTGAATACAACAGTACCATGGCCATTGATCTTAGGCAAACGAGGCAGGTGAACAGGACTAGAACCAGGTTTTCAGCAAGTGTTGAAGGAAAACATGAGTTACAAAAGTGTTTCATGAACAATGATGTCTTAGTAATGAAAATGGATTGGTGGGTGTAAGGCTTTCCTAAGATAATTAGTTGTCCTGTTTGAGAGAGATTAGGGCCAAGAAGGAACTACTGAATCCCTGGAAGGTGTGAATTTTAGTTAAGTGTTTGAAGATACTGTTGTTGAAACCCCATGATGGGCGGGGGAGGGAAATAAGTCCAAAAAAAAAAAAGCACTCCTTTCCCCTGGAGGGTAGAGCTTGGGGATTTCCACAGTCCTCGCTGTCCTCGCTGAATGCTTGGGGAGGGTGATCTTTTCCAGCCTGCTGCTGCGGGGACAGACTTGCACTGCAGGGCGGGTCACCGTCGGAGTGGGGCTCGTCCTGACAGCTCTCCTCTCCCCCAGGGAACAGGAGGCGCTTTTAGCATCGACAGCGAGGAGTATGAGGCCATGCGTGTGGAGGTCAAGCTGCTCCCCAGGAAACTGCACTTCTTCTGTGATCCCAGGAAGAGAGAAGAAATGCTGCAGGGCGCAGCCCAGTGAGCAGCCCAACGCCCGCACCCCACGTCGCCCGTGGGACCAAAAGGGAGCAAGTGCCATGGCTCTTCCGACCGCACTGTTGGAGGCGCCCAAGGGAGTTCCCATGGCAGGGACCTCTGCCCTCCTCCAGAGTGCTTCCCCGCGTGCACCCCGCCACCTGCCTGGCAGTCAGTATCTTTGGTGCATGCTTCTCTCTCGCTGGCAGGTGATCCATCCTACATTTCCTTCAGGGAAGTCCTCAGACTCAGTGGATGGAAAGCGCTCAACCTTTCTTCCCAAAGCACAACTGCAGTGGAGAGCACCATCCGTGGGCTGAGTACCCTCCTCCTGGGAATTCCTCAACTGCCCTGCCCCCTGTCTGGGCTCTTCGTGGGTGCTGCCACCATGTGGACTTTAGTCCTTACACAGTCTTGTTCCCATTCTGTCTTCAGTAAAGGCTAGGTTTGTTTTTTTAAGCTGTTTTAAATGTTGATGTGCATGAGAACCACCTGGGGTGCATGTGTAAACTGACAAGGGGCCCCCCTCAAACTTTTAGTCCCTCCCCCTGAGGGGTGAGGTCCAGAAATCTACTGAAAGACTAATGTGCCCCACTCCTCTTGGTGATGCGTTCCTGGTCCCCCTAACTTTCCTGGAGAATGTAGTGTGCAGAAGGGGTGGGCGCCTGCTCTTCCGGTCCCACTGCGTTCCCTCACGCATCGAAGCTGACATGTAAAAATTTCCATGAGAAATTATATAGTTGGCAAAGTCTGTTCTTTATGGTGTCATGTAAATATTGCGATTTTAAAATAAAAGCTGTTACATCACTCTTTTAAACATATCCAGTGTAATTTAAATACCATAGCAACTTGATGCTCCTCATTCATACATAAAAATAAATCAGCTAGTTCTTCACTAACTAAAACATGCTAATTGGATTTTCTCCTTTGTGAGTTTTCTGATAATGTGATCTATGTTTGTGCTTGGTATCATTAGATGTAAGCCTAAAAATAAGTGGACAACAAAAGGATTGTAACATGTCCATGCAGAGCTCATTCCTTTTGAGCTGCAGAATAAAAATCAATGCCCTACCAAAACTCTAGTTGAAAGCAGAACACTGAGACCCACCTGAGTGCTAAGGCTTCGCCAGCCGGGCATCACCATCCTCCCCTTCGGGTACCGTCATGGGCATGTCCCTTCGGTGCTCCTCGAGGTCAGGTCCGGGAGGGCCTTGCACCACGGTCAGGTTGATCAGATGTGTCCCTTTCTTTCTGGACAGGGAAAGGCAGGAAAGCAACGGACAGGCATTGGCAACAGGTTGTTTCAAACAGTTCAAGTAATAAGTTTCTCAAAAACAGTCATGTGAAATAATGGAATTAAAGGTATGTTTCAATGCAAAACCAACTTTGAAAGCCGCACATGCTTTTTTCATAGTATCCATTTTCACTGAATTTCACTAAAACATTTAATTCCATTTTTATCATGAACTTTTTGAAGTGCCCTTATAAAAGTACCCATGCGTCTGTATAAAGACCCTTGCCTTAATGGCTTTTGTAGCAGCTGCAAGGAATTTCTGAATGAACATCACAAAAAAATAAGACTTATTTGGCATTGTATTCTTCAGAGTAGTCATAAATGCTCAAAGAAAAAAAAACATTAAGGCTCTCCCATTTTTATGCTGCACATGGGAGAGAATGCTATGGCATAAGAAAAAAATGGCTGCTTGGGTTGGACAGGGCATCTGGATTAGCCCTTCCAAGAGCTCCCCACTCGTTTCCTGCCTGCTGTGCAGCCTGGAATGCTGGCCATGCCTCGAACGTTTGAGTCCCTGGCCAGCCCTGTCACAGGCACCGAGAAGGGAAACCAGCAATGGAGTGGTCTTAAAAAAAAACAAGAGCAGAGAGGAGTTAGCGTATTTTAGTTCTGTAAGTTTATGAAATAGAAAAAAAGGCTGGCCTTCTTAAAAGGCTAGCTGTGTAGTAATTCCAATCAGAGTGATGAGCACGATTGAGGAAGGGTAATTAACCTACAGTAGGAATGCTGTTTTTAAATGTTTTGTTTTCTTGAGGCAGGTGAGTTTCTGCAAGGGCTTGGTTTCTTTTATAGTTCGCTGCTTTGTTCTGGTCAGCCAAAGATTGATAGCTAGCTGGAGGAGAACGTTGGCAGTCATTTGGCAGTCTTAGCTTTGCCGAGAAATTTATTTCTTAGCCCCAGGGCTAATTTGCATGCAAAGCTTTAATTACTAAGCGCCTGTGATTTCCACTTGCAGCTACTGGTCACCTCCCGCAGCCACCAGAGGAAGCCGCGTTAGGTACAGGGCTCAGAAAGCAGGAACTGAATGGGAGCAGTCGCTCGATCCCAAAGCACCAATATCAGCAATTTACTTTCTGCTGAACATAATTCCCCAAAAGGTTAAAAATGTTTCAGAATATAACCCACTCATGCCTATACGTATAGTACATACCATGATGCTTTCAACTCGGTGCTGGTAACAGGCTTCAGGTCCCTGTGCGGGGTTCCCGGGCAGCTCCCTGGCGTGGCTGAGCGTGTACAACCTTGGCTCTTCTGGATGGTGCCAGTACTCCCATCGTCGTCGGTCTCCATTTCCTGAGGAATGCCTGGACCTCGGCCTCCAGGAGCAAGGCAGCGGGCAGCTCCTGGGCTCGGGGGCCTCGCTGGCAGCGCACCCGGTGCAGCCCCTGCGGGCTCTGCGCTTCCCACAGTGGGCAGACAGAAGGACTGCAGCGCACACACGCATGGTCAAATGTACTTTAATTGTAAAAATCGTTTCCTGTAAATATATATGTACCTCTGCACACAGCGTGGGTCATACACACAGATATGATATACACAGATGTTATTTGTACCACACAACAAAATCAACCCGGAAGGATTTGCTCTTAGCTTTGCATTTAATGCCAGCTTTCATTAGGCCTTTAGAATGATCACCACGGCAACTAAGACATACCGATATGGAGGGGCTTTTAAGGCAGAATTTATGAATTCTTGCTAGCTTCATAATATGAGATAAAGAAACAAAAATAGATTTGTTCTTATTGCTATAAATCATGCTGGGGTAGTAATCAAATAGGATTTTTACATTTAAGGTGACCAGAAGGCTATGTTTATCCTAATCCTGAAAAAAAAAAGTTTTCCAAGGAAAAACTTTCAGGAAAGGTTTATCTTCCAGACCTATGTAAAACATCTAGTCAACAACCTTCAAGGTCAGTGAGTGAAGTTCATTTTCTCTCTGTGGGCATGCTAGACCCAGTCTTTTTCCTCTCTATTGTTTAATTTACCCAAAGTAAATTTTTGCTCTAGGGGCTCGGCGTGGTGACGCAGTGGTTAAGGTCTTCACCTTGCACGCCCGGGATCCTATATGGGCACCGGTTCTAATCCCGGCAGCCCCGCTTCCCTTCCAGCTCCCTGCCTGTGGCCCGGGAAAGCAGTCAAGGACGGCCCAAAGCTTTGGGACCCTGCACTCCTGTGGGAGACCCGGAAGAGGCTCCTGGCTTCGGATCGGCATAGCATTGGCCATTGCGCTCACTTGGGGAGTGAATCATCGGATCTTCCTCTCTGTATAGCCGCCTTTCCAATAAAAATAAAATAAATCTTTAAAAAAAATTGTTTTTTGCTCTAACATCAACAATATTTGCAGGCAGCAAATCCCATTCCCTCTGAGTAGATGTCTGACCTCCATGCCTTATCCCCACATTCCCAAGTTGTCCTTAGAAAGCAAATCTATTCATCTACAGAAATATTATCAACATAAGTAATTCATACCTTCCTACCATGGAATTAAATACATTTTCAGATTTAGGTCACATTAGCTCTAAAATCCATGCTATGCCAAAATTCTACAGTGAATTAAAAAAAAAAGCAGGACTTTATTTGTTCATTATTCCCTTTGAAAATTTCTAATTTCATTAAGTGGTCCCAAGACTCCAGCTCCAAAAGTGAATTAAAGTGCCAGTTAGGAAGCTATCTCCCGTTCTCACCTCTGGCTGACCCAGAGCCTAATCATAACGGTCATGTCTACCCTCTCCTGGGCTGGAGCTCCGCTTAGCACCCAGGGCTAGCTGCACCCTCCTTCGGACTGTCACGTTGACCTATGAAGCCCCAGGAAGATTGTACAGTGCCACGTCTGTATTCATTCCCCAACACATTCACAGTCAAACGTGTGAGAGGACCCAGCTGCTACCCAATTACAAAACTTACCAATTCTTCTAGAACTGTAGTTTTGTAATGTCCTTCAATATCTTCACACATGGTTCACCATAGTAACATCAGTATAAAAATAAACTACCATTTCTTATAAGAAAAAAAAACACATATTAACTTATTCACAGCCTTTCCCACTTGGTGTTCCAACAGCTCTTGGGAACAGAGGTATATTAGTAATAAAAATGGAATATTAAAAACCCATGACTTGGGAGTAAGGGGAGCCCTTCACTCCTCCTCTCCCTCTGACCTGAATCAGAAAAGGTTTTCTGAACAGAGAAGGGCTGGGACTGTAAGCCTCCGTGGGTCTGTGGAATTCTCCTCTACAGGTATGGGGAAAAAGTGAGACATCTCACAGACCCCAAGCCCAGTAGCCCATATCCTACCAGGGAGAAGGAAGCCCACGCAGGGCATGCTGGGCCTGCGTTTTAAAAAGCCAGCCATGATTTAGCAGTGAATTAGCTTCCAGTTGAAGTATCACGGCTGGTTGCAGGACAACCCTCACCTGTGGCATCTGGAATTAGCTGCACCTCAGTGTTCCTCGCACCTTTCCCACCCAGAGCTCCAGGGCTGCACGTAAGACAGAGGTCCAAGTTCCTACGCAAAATCACTGTCTTCCGACGGCAATTAATTCAGCTGTCCTTCCCTGGCCAGATGGAGGAGGAGATGACGCATATGGGAGGCAAGTGCCTTCCAACTCGCTCACTGTGATGGTAGCTTCCAGAGGACTCTGCAGCCCCAGGCGGGGCGCCGACATGGCGGTGATTAACGCCAGGCATACGGAAGGCGTCGTGTTTCGTTAAAGCCAAAGCTAATTCTAAACAAATTATTTGGCCCACACTTCTGAGTCTGGTGGGAGATAAGCTCTGCCATTCCCCATTCCTTCTAAATAAAGCCAGGCTGCGACTGGATCCTTTCCCAAAGGCTGAGTCCTGCCATCTGCTGAGCCCACACACTGGAAAACAGCCACTCCAGCAGGCCTCCCTCTGTCACGGGCTACACGACCACCCATACACCTGACCCGGGACGCCAGTCTCCATCTAGAATTTCTCCTAACTTTCCAGAGCAAGGAGAGGACAAACCTAGTGTCCCGGGGTTAAGCATTTCCAGGCTGGCACAGGGTCCCCAGGGAGGTCAGGCTTACAGCTCGCCAGGCTTACAGCTCGCCAGGGCTGAGCTTGTGGGCGGGACTGGGAGTGGTCCTGACTGCTGCTTCCCACAGTGTGCCAACCTGAAACCAACCTCTGACCAAGGCAGGAGCTTCTCACTTCAGTTCCTGGCTGCATAGCCTCTGCCTTCTGCCATGACTGTAAGAGAGATCGCTGCCTCGGACTTCACACTTTGGGTGGCTAATGCTGGTGGGTTGTGCCTGGCACCTTCCAGCCAGGAAGGCAGAGGCTGGGGAACAGCAAACCATCCTGAAAGGAGCTCAGATGTGTCATCCTTAGGAAACGTCACATGCTAGTCAGCAGGAGGCGGCGCCCCCTCAAAGGCCTCTGGCCCTAGGAGGAAGCTGACAGACAGGAAGGACTTGAAGTTTTGCTTTGGGGTCAGCTGAGCCCAGAACCCCCTGAAACATGACACTGTCTCACTGGTCCAGTTCCCTCCAGGGCCACCCATGCCTTGGCCCTAAGTACACGAGGTGGAGGACACACACACTGGGCAGCAGGCAGATCAAAGAGCCCTGCAGTCCCAGGTCACTGTGCAAATGAAGTGCTGCTCCCCTTATAGCAGCACTTCTAAGTGCACAGAGAGGGCTGGCTGCAGAAGTGCTTAAAACTCTCCTTGAGCCTAGTGCCCGATTCCAGGAAAGGAGGGTCTGCCTACGCCCTCCCAGGAAGTCAGGCTTTCCCCACCCACTCCAGCTTGCTCTTCTTCTAGCTGACCACCCAACCCAGAACCCCGAGCCCTGGAACAACACTGCTGGGAGCAGCCATTTTACTTCGCCCAAGTAGCAAAGTGCCCTCTGACCCCCCGGAGGCAGCGGAGGACAGCTGCTCCCACTGGGGTGGAAGTGAAGGTGGGATGGGCAAGGTGAAGCTATGCATTTGTTTTTCCTTTTGTAAATGCACATGTTACTGAAACCATGGCTAACGCCACACGGCAGAGGGCAAAGACAGAGTTTACAAACTGTAGAGTTTACATTTCAGTAACCAAACTTATTTATATATTTACATAGAAGATGTCACCTTGATGATTCCATGTTTGGACTTGCACACATGTAGAGTTCTCCAGTCTTCAATTCCAGAGCAAGGAGCCTACAGTGAAGATTTGCTTAACTAAAGCTATTAAGCCTGAAGGACCTTATCTTGAAATAAGATGTGTTATCCTTCCATTTGAAAGGTATTTCTCCCTGCTGTGCCCATGAGGTGGGTCTTGGATCACAGACAAGGGTACACTGACGGCTATTGCAGTTAACAGGGAAGAATGAGAAAATATGATTTGTCACCAACCACCATACCCTGGTTGAAGCTCTACTCTGGCCAAAGAGACCCAGTGGTTAACAATCCCCCATCTCGCTGAAGCCTATCAAGACACGCAGGTGGCTCCAGGACACACCCCAGACCCATCAAGCCATTTCAGAAGAGGTCACTGCTGACCCTCTCAGGGCGGAAGGCACTGTTGGGGTTCTGGGCCTCAGCCCAGCCTCAGCCTAAGGAATGTTGTTTCCACAAAAGAGAGGCTTAGGGCACCCCACACCGATCCACAGGCTTGTTGAGTTTTAGGCCCCAGCCTCCACGTTACCCAGCTGTGAAATTGGCAGTGCTTCCAGAATGCAGCCCATCTGTTCCACTGCTCTGGCCTGGCTGGAAGAGCTCGCGTGAACGTCAGCACGCTGATCCAGTCCTCCTAAGGGACCAGACTGTGAAATCCATTTGCTTCCAAGTTCCAGGGCCAACACGGACCCTTGGGAAATCGCCAACTCAGGCCAAGAGGAGGGACTGAGACAAAGGAACATCACGGCGAGGGGCCATTACTAACTCTGAGAAGGACTGAGACTTCATTCTGTAATTTTGATTTCCAGTGAAGCCATAAGCAACCTCCCCCTTCCTGTTCTGCCCTTCCAGAAGCACATAGTTGGTGTGAGGAACATCCTGTTTCTCCTTGTGGTCCCTACTCACGTGAGCTGAGAGAACAGACGCACCCTAACAAACAGGGATCCTGAGCCCTAGGAGGGATTGTAAAACCTCAGCAAGTCCCTGGCCTAGCCCCCAGTCTAAGGCCACAGTGGATGGCTGTCTTACTCTTGAACATACCCTGGGACAAAGACCAAGCGACTTTCCTGAACAGTCACCCCCAGAGCTCAGCCTGTTCTGGGTGACACACCTCCCAAGACCAAACCCCAGGAGTAAATAGCTCTGGGAGACAGTGGCGCAGGACACAGAGCCAAGGCCACCTCACCTTGCCTCCAGAGAAAAGGGGAAGGAAGGAAATCACATAAATGACATCACTTGGGAAGCCTAAACTGTATCCCTTGGCGTCGGGTTAGTAAACCACAAGGTCCTAGGGAGGCTCCAAGCCAACTTCCGGTTGCCCACTGTGGCTCCTACGGGCAGCAGGGGTTGTCGATGACCAACATGACGTCAATGCCGTATGCCTCCAGCAGGTCCATGAGAAAGCTGCGGTCTCCCTGGGGGTCAAGCCCCATGCCCCGCGCATGCTCCGCTGTCAGGGTTTTGTCTTGACTGGCAGACACCTCCAACAAAGTCTGAAATATCCGGTTGTTTTGCTCCAAGAAAAACCTGCACGTGTAACACAAGATGCATAAGAGGGAGTAGAGATGGGCGAGCTCAGCAGCTCATCCATGCCCAAACTCAACCACTCTGTATATGAGACGCTTCCAGATGACTTCAATGGTCACAGTGGTCTTTTAGACTATGGGGTACAAATCCACGTGGCATTCTAGCTAGCGCAGAACCACTGGCACGAATCAGAGTCCCATGGGGGCCATCTCTGAGCAAAGGACGCCCTAACAGCCAACGCTTCACCGGCCACTTAGGAGGAAAGCGAGGATGAATTTAAGCACAGTCCAGAGAAGAGATGAATCCCTCCTTCCAAACTTCTCTCTCTCTCTCTCTCTCTCTGCTCAGCCATAAGGGGAAGAAAAAGCTAGCAGACAAACCAAGCAAACCAGAAAATGCACTTCCAAGGTTAAGACTTCAAGTGCAAAACCACAATTTGCTTTCTGGGCCCCTGCTGGGTCACAGATGAGCCTCTCAAGAGGTGGGCTCTGCAGCGTTCCCCAAGCCCAGGCCACTACAGCCAGTCTGGCTTGACATTGTCCAGCCAGAAAAGTGAGCGTGGAGGAGCCAGACAGGCGCAGGGACACTGAGAACCAGCAGCATGGTGGCTGGAGGTTAAAGGGAAAGGGAGGGTGAGGCACAGGCAACAGCAGCCCTCAGCATCTGTCTGCCCAACCAGGCTTTCTGAGGCCGGAGATGCAGAGAACAAGATTCTAAAGCCACTGCTTACAGCACCATGTGAATATCAGCTCTCTACGTGAGCCGTTGCCCCAGAGCTCTTGGCTGCAGCACAAGTGCCTTGTGCCCAGAGCTGCTATGGAAACTCACAATGTCAGAGGCCAGTGTCTTGGTTCCAGCCCTGATGAGGTGGTGGCTCTGCTCTGTCCCCAGACGCCCATACACTTCCCACACAGTGCTGTATCTGCGAGTCCCCTGGGCTCCCTCCACTTGCTTTCCCGGGCTCAGCACTGCCTGTCTACAGAGCCCAGCTCGGAGTACCCCTGAAGGCCATCCTGGACTTTAGTGGGGACAAGGGGAGGAACCAGCTTAAGCTGAAGGGAGCTCAGGGATGCCCATGGCTGCTGCCCGGGGCCACTCACAACACAAAGAGGTCCTCTTCACAGGGGTTGTAGTCTTCCTCCACTTCCTGGGAGTACAGGAGCATCTGCCTGTAGGGAGGAGGGCACCCCCAATCAATTCCAGTGCGCCTGCAGAGCCCAGCCATGGCTCGGCATCCTGGGTTCCCCTAGCAGGCCACACTGACCACAGCAGGCTCCTGCTGCAGAGGCTTGGAGGGAAGGGAGAGGAAGGATGGAAACTTCAATGGTGCAGAGGTTGTAACAATCTTTCCTAATTATCCATCACATGGGGATGGTGAAACATCTAGCTTCTGGGATAACAAATGTATTCAGAGTTTTAGGAGCTGATGCACAGGCCTGCTCATTATGCAGCAAGACACACAAACTAGACGTTACCCACGTGGTCACAGGCAAACATTAAAGACATCTGGAGGAGTATCTAGAAGATGCAAGTGCCCTTCCCTGGGTCTCACAGAGTCCCAAGCTCAAATCGCTCCTTTCCACCTCCATTCCCCTAACCCCCGAGAGACACCCCCCCCCCCCGCCCTAAAGCACCTGCTGTCTTCCTATCAGGGCAGCCAGCAGGGAGCCTGGCCCATTAACTGAAGGGCTTCCCTTCAGCCTTGGCTCCCAGGCGAAACACAGCCTGGCAGAAAGGCACTGTGAGGGACAGGTGATGGACAGAACACACTTCATAGAGATGCAACTTCCTCCAGCTCCGAGCCAGCCAGCACCAGGCACTCAGCGTGGCGTGCTGCTGGCCCTGGCTGTGCCCTTCGGCACCTGCTGTGCACACAGCACAGCCCCCAGGAGGCCGCTACCTCTGCTCGTTGAGCCGCCGATACTTCTCCCTGTCGGCGCTGTTGATCTTCAGCAGGGGCTGCAGGTGGTCGTGGTGAGTCCTCACGTTCTGATTGTCCACATAGACATCATACAGCTCCCGTTTCTCCTCAAATATCTTCTCCGTGGTGCCTGAGGACCCAAGGGTTAGGGTCAGGGAAGCAGCAGGTGGCAACCCTAAGCAGGGGTGGTGGGGAGCACCGCGGAGAATCAGGAGCCCGCTACCCCACCTCTGTGAGGAGTAAAGCAGTCCAGGAGCCCATGTCTGCAAGAACAGGAGACAGGCTCAGGCACACGGGCAGGGTGCAGCGGGACCCTGGTACTCACAGGCTACATAGGACACCTCCACCTCCAGGCTCTCGATGTCGGCCACATTCACATAGAAGAAGGGCTTTGACTCAGGAATGGTGCTCCCGATGCCAGGCAGCGAGACATTGGCCAGACAGCAGCAACAGTACACTGTAGGGAGGACGGGTCAGAGGAGAGATGTGTCAAAGCCTGCTAGTCAATCCGTTCCTTCCCATCCTCCTCCAAGGAAGTGGCCTATGACCTGGACGTGGCCCATCTCCAGCTAGACTCAAGCTGAAGAACCAGCAAGCATGTGGCCACGCCGGCTAAGCTGCCACTTGTAACAGTGGAATTCCATGTCGAAACTGGTGTGAGTCCTGGCTGCTTCCAGTCCAGCTCCCTATGAATGTGCCTGGGAAGGTGATAAATAGCGGCTCAAGCACTTAACATTCTTGCCGCCCGTGAGGGAGAGCCACTTGAAGCTTGCGGCTCCTGGCTTCAACCTGGATCAGCCTGTCACTGGGGCCATCTGGGCAGTGAACCACTTATCTCGCCCTCTTTGTCACTTGGCCTTTCAAATAAACCAGTCTTGAAAAACCACCATCGCTAGCAATCACCACCATAAGTGCATGTTGAGGCGTGTCCTTGCTGCAACACAGCAAGGCGTTTAACAGGTGACGAGGGCACAGGATACAGGCTGACGGAGGGATTAATGTGGCTCCCGGGGCAGTGAGTGATGATCTCGGCTCCCCACAGCGTGGGCCGCTCGGCTGCGCTCTCCTCCTGCACATGTGCTTGTCTTCTGCACGCACCCGGGCTCCCACCAGGAAGCCCTCAGCAGAAACTGCATGCTCTGACTTCTAGAACCATGAGCCAAAATAATCCTCTTTCTTGATAGACAACCCATCCTCGGGTATTTTTAAGGCAACGGAAAAATGACTCCCATGGGAGCTGTGTGGGTCTCTGCCCTGTGTTCCCTCGATGCCCCAGGAACCAGTGGGTCCCGATCTCCCCAATTCACATCAGTTCTGTGTTGACCAGTCGCCTAGGCACTGCTCAGTTTTCCTCTCACTGGGCTGGCTCAGAAGTGGACACTGCTACTGGCTGGCTGGAACCCTTTCCTCTTCTGACTTGTGCCATCCGTCTCCTCTGTCCTGCCAACCCGGATGGTGCACCTGCTGTGCCCGAGGAGAGGCACACCCCTCTTTACTCATTCTCTCCATGAAGCCACCCTTGCCTTGGCTAACAGACAGGCTAAATGGCACGCTGAGAACCCCTCTTCCAGCACAGCCCCCTCGGAGCCTACAAGGCTCTGGCGTGCATCATGTCACATGATGTCACAGGCGGCATGTGCTTGTCATGCCCCAAGCTAACCCTACGCCCTTAACCCCAATCCTTGTCAGCTTTGATTCTTACGCCTTGAGTGCTGTCCAGGGCATCTCAGAACACAAACAAGAACCTGTCTTCTCTGCTCTAAGCCAGACCCTAAGGTCTCATCAGGGTCTAACCTCATTTAACCCAGCCCATCTTTCGCCTGACACCAAGGTCCGCACTGTGAATGCAGACCCGGTCAGGCCCCTCCCACACTAGTCCATGATGGAGAGACTCTGGTTACCTCTGTAGCATACCACGCCTACAGGCGGGGGAGAGAAGATCAAAATGCGCTTTCGGAGTAAGGCAAACTTCCAGAGGATGAGGATCTGTTCTCCGAAGAACTTGATAAACTGAGACATGCAGCCAGCAGGGTGTGTGATCTGGAAAAGGAAAAAGCAGGGGAGGCGGTTGAAGAGGGAGGGAGGAAGAGAGGGAGGTAGAGCTTGTAATGATGATGATGATGAAAACAGCATAGCCGTGTGCCCAACTCCCTCACGCTCCCCAAAATGCAAAAGTGCAGCCAAACGTCTGATAAGGGATGGTTATTTCCACCCACAATGACAGTTTTCACCTTAATACTCCTATGTTTAAACAGGTTTCTGCAACACAACAGCTCCCCTGATGTACAAGTTTGGGTTTAGGGATCATTAGCTACTTTCTTGGGAAGAGAGAGGAACCAAGGAAAAACACTAAATGTAACATTACCACTACTAAAGAGACAGGATGCAAGAGACAGGAAATGTGGCTCAGAACTGCGGAGCACTGGAAATAACGCGATGGTGGGCCAACCGTCTGAGACGAGACACACAGCACAGGGGGACCTGCTCCTGAACAAAGCAAGGGGTCTGCAGAGGTCAGCAAGCAGGCCAGGACCTTCTGGCACATTCCCTGCTACCCTTCAGCCCTGGCCACTCTTCCTTCCAATGCTCATGGAAGGAGCCCTAAGCCTCGGGGGTACCCTCGAGGTGGACAACATAAGTCCGGGCTCCAGGAAGGCCAAAAGAACAAGTGCCGTCGAGGTTACAGACCAAGAGGGACCCTGCTCGTGGGAATGCAGACAGTGCACTGTTGGGCCCAGATTTTGCGATCCCCAGAAAATCACTTTACACAGCCATAGGAACTGAAAGAGACAAAACCAGCCAGCACGTGCTGCTCCCTGGGAACCAGCAAGCATTCCAGCCCTGTGCCAGGGTCTGTGCCCGATAAGGGCTGGAAGAGCCCCAGCCCACGCGAGCACCTCTTACAGGAGTGTCAGGGACTTAGCTCCTCTTCGCTCGCCCTGTTTAGCAGCACAGCGCAACAGCCCATTCTCCGGCCTCGTGCAAGCCTGTCACCCTCTTCAGGCTTGTTCCTCTGGGGCTTTTCCAGAAAGTTCTCTCTCCCCACCTATGTTTTTCTTCCAGTCTTCCACCCACCACTAGATCCTTTTACCAACAATTGGCAGCCCGTCTGTACGGTTCAGGGTCAGTTTGCCAGACCTTGGATTCTGCCCACAGCCATCCCTCTCCTCCACTGCCCTGTGCCCAAGGGCAGCATCTCCCAGGATTGCTGGATATCTCCTTCCATCTTCCTCCTTTCATTCTTTTAGCCTGGCTCATTATTTTTTCCCTCTACAATTCTCCCAGATTTAATTCCTGTTTCAAAAACTCACTTGTTTAGAGTTTTCCTTTATCCATGTGTTCACTTTGTAATAATTCAGGGAACTACAGGACTTTTGGACTTGTTCCTGTGAACACTATATTCCAATAAAAGAGCGTGCATACAATTTCTTTAACAGATACACAAAGGTGCTTTTTCATAAATGATGGATTCATATCAGACACATTTTTATGTCCTATCATTTCTTTTCTGGCCCCATACATTCCCTCACAGACACATAAGGTAGTATATATTATCACCCACGTTCTTTGTGTTCATGTATGCAAGTGCATCCATCTGTATCTACAGATGATGCTGTGATTATTCAACAAAAACATGATCATATCACAGTTTCCTGGATGGACCAATAGCCCTGGTAGATCTTCCATGTCAATTTCTTATGCTGTATTGATTTTTCATAATGATTATTCCAGAGGTTCTGGGATCTCTCTTCCCCAACCCTTCCCATATCCCCTTACTCTTCCACCATAATGGTTATTGAATATTTGAGCATTCCAAGTTTTGACCACCCAACATTTTTAAATAAATGTCTTTAAACACATACTTTTGGTGGTCCTATACCTACAGGATGGACTTTGACATGGGATTCCTGAAATAATTTTCCTACCTTGACATACTGGGCTTTTATTATTATTTTTTTTATTAAGACTTATACTCACAGGTGGTATTGTAACCTATGAGGTGTCTTCTTTCCCTGTATCTCACAGGATCAAGCAGGTTACTGAGCTGCCTTCCAACAGGGCAGAAGCATATGGTCAGTTTCTTTTTTCTCCCTTTGGCTCTGCTTTCTGGTCTCCTGGCAAAGACCAGTGACAGATCAGAGGCTGTTCACCTTCCCCCGCTACAGATTTGGAGACAGTCCAGGAGCCATCTGACTCAGCAGGACAAAAGAAAAGAAAAAATGGGCAGAGTTAAGAAGGGAGAGTAGGCAGGGTTCATGACAATGCAAGTCCAGAATTGCCAAGATGACCACTCTGACCATTTCTTAATTCTCATCTCTCAGCCCATGTCAAGAGATGCGGTACGGACATGTGCAAACATTTCCTGGATTTCCAACTGGTTTCCTGTATGGTCCTTCTGCTAGGAGGCAGGGCCTGGAGAGTGGAAAGCAGGAGGGGTGAAGGGATTCCCCTCCAGGCCAGCCCTGCTGGTATTTCCCCAGCAGCAGAGGTCCCTGTGGCGCTAGCTTCTAGCACACGTGGAGTTCCACACCAAGGGGTACCAGCGTCAGATGGCACAGCACTTCCCTCTGAGTCCGAGCAGGACACGGGTGAGCTTCTAAGCTCCGCTGGTTTTGATGGCACCACTTCCCCCCTTGGCTACCTTGGCCCTAGCTCTCGGAGCAGTCTCCACCCCATTCTACACCCATATGTAGCTTTGTGCAATCCCCTCTTCCCTCCTAAGTCAGAGAACATGGTTAACAGTGCAGGGCTGTCATTTCCATGATTAAGTTACAGAGGGTCTGCATTTGCATCTTCCTGGAAAACTCTGGCTTCCCAGTTTTGATAAAGCCATTATCTGCTAAGACCCACATGAAAACGAACTCAGGGCAGCCTCCACAGGCAGCTGGGTGCTGGGGGCTTCTTTTCCATGGGCCCTATGAAATGCAGCCTTGCCAACAGCCACATATGCTTCGAATTGCACAGTTCCCCAGTCAGCCTCAGCAGCCCTTCCTCTGGTGAACGCCTGGATTAAAGCATGAGAAATGAAGCAGAAGACACAGCAAAGCCCTCCCTGGATTCCTAGTCCACAGAAGCTGTGCAACAACAGAGATCTCCCGTTTCAGGCCATTGATTAGGAGTCACGTGCTATACAGGACTAGATGACTAACATGGAATGGCATCTGTTATCTGAATATTACTAGCATATAAATCACTTGATTCCCTTTCAGTCTTGCAACTCCTACATTATGCATTCATTGTACCAAATGAATATTAAATATTTTGCTTCTGTTTTTAAGAATTTTACTTACTAGGAATGAAACTCTGGCCTCTTTTTCTAACAAGAATTCAAGTATTACTTACTAGGACTCCAAGTTCAGGATCTAGTGTTTCAGGCTCTCCGCAATCTGATTTCAACCTGCTTGTCCAACATTTGCTCAGTCAGCGAACATAAACATTTCACCCCGGCCACAGAGTTCTGTGTCCCATGAACCTGTCCCTGACATGCTCTACAAAGCCAGTGAGCTGGGGCAGAGAGCACACACAGGCTTTGCTACCTAACCTGGGTTTAAATTCTGGTACACTCTCTCACCAGTTCTAACATCTATAGCAAGCCACTGGTCCTTTAATGCCTCAGTTGCTCTAGCTTGAAAGCTGGGATTTGAAAAAACAAGGTCCATGTTAAAAGTGTTGCATCAGGCATCAGTCAACGGTCCATGATGCCGAGCTCCCACAGGGGCTGACATAGTGGGAGACCACAGCTCCACCTGCCGCCCAGATGCTGCTTCAGGCTGGAACAAGCATTCCTTGCTTCCCACCTGGCAGTGAGCAAACTGGGAGACACCTTCCCGGAAGCCCTGCCAGCAGAGTTCTGCCAGGGGCACTATAACATCTTTTGACCAATCCAAGGGAAGGAAGGGAAAAATAAAGGCAACTCATCTTCTTAGCCATCTTTGTACTTTTCCAACACAGAATGCTTGGCTGGGTGTTTTATCAACTGAAAACAACATATTCTAGTGCTGCAGAAAAGTACAAAATAAAACAATATCAAAACTGAAATAATGAAGAGATGCCAGACCTGTTCCATCAGCCTCTCCAGTTTTACCTCAAACATCTGCTTTTCTTTTTATTGGAAAGTCAGATACACACAGAGGAGGAGAGACAGGCAAATCTTCCGTCTGTTGATTCACTCAAGCCCGCAAAGGCCAGTGCTGTGCTGATCTGAAGCCAGGAGCCTCTTCCAGGTCTCCCACGTGGGGTGCAGGGTTCAAAGCTTTGGGCTATCCTCAACTGCTTTCCTAGGCCACAAGCAGGGAGTTGGATGGGAAGCAGGGCTGCCAGAACACGAACTGCACCCATATGGGATTCCCAGCTTGTGCAAAGCAAGAACTTAAGCTGCTAGGCTACTGTGCTGGGCCCCAAACGTCTGCTTTTAAATGCACTGAAGCTGTATGCCCATGAATCCAGTAACACTGGCCTTTCTGCTGCCCCTCCTCTCCTCCCCACCCCTCCACCAACTGTGTATTGCAATCGTGGAAACATCTAAAAAGCCTATTATGGAAAACTACACACCAAATGTTTAAACCAACCCAGAAGCTTAGCTTACTAAACTTCTGCTGCAGATAGCCAGTCTGCACAAGCCCAGATATACAAGACTTATTAAAGAGACGTCATCAGGCTTGGCGTGGTAGCCTAGTGGCTAAAGTCCTCACCTTGCATTCACCAGGATCCCATATGGGTGCCGGTTCTAATCCCAGCAGCTCCACTTCCCATCCAGCTTCCTGCTTGTGGCCTGGGAAAGCAGTGGAGGACGGCCCAAAGCCTTGGGACCCTGCACCTGCGTGGGACACACAGAAGCTCCTGACTTCTGCTTTGGATCACTGGCTCAGCTCCAGTGGTTGTGGTCACTTGGGAAGTGAATCAGCGGATGGAAGGTCTTTGTCTTTCCAGTATACATACATAAATGAATGAATAAATAAATATGTTAAGGAGAGAGAGATCAACAACTGCCATGCCCAGACACAAGCCCTGTTCTGCGTGGGCGTGGCTGAGCTCACCTTCATCTCGGGGTACATGTATCGGTGGACGGAAGGCAGCCAGTAGACGGGGGGCAGGCTGCTGCCTCTGCCGGGTCCAGCGTGCAGCACGCCCTTCTTGTCCTCGTAGAACGCAGCCAGATGAGAGTAGTGTCCCGGCGTCTCCAGCTGGTGTCTGCACAACACACACACACACACACACACACACACACAAGCTCAGTGAGAACAGCTCCACTCGTAGCTCTGCGATGGACTCCCCGGCCAGGAGCTGCAACGCCTGACCCACCCGAAAGGTTCCCACTTCCAGGTTATGGAAGATCTGGAGGAAATCCCCGACAGCGCTGCCGGAGGACAGAGCTACCAGAGGCTGGCTAATGCCCACTGTTCTGGAGCAAGCTATGCAGAAAATCTGTGTGGCTGAGGCAAGTTGCTTGTTTAGTCTGAGAAGGGGTAACCTGGAAGACAGAAACCCCTGCTTGCAACAACTGTTTGTGTAGAACTCTGCTTTCTTTGTTGCTATGAAGTAATAAGGAGACACCGCCTTGGCGTCTCAAATAAGGGAGAACAGTTATTGCCACACGTCACTAAGGGCTGGTTAGTTCTGCGATAAAACACACAAAGCACCAGAAGCTCTTAGCTGCCGACCTTCACCTTGCTCGGGTTAACAGATCAGTAGTTTTGGGTTTTCATGAGGCGATGCCCCAAGACAGCAGCATGGAGGGCCCAAACCATGTGGCCACAGAGAATCCTGCCTCCAAGATCAAGTGCGTCAAAGGGGGTTTATAGCTTGAATTTCCACCCTAAAAATGTGGAAGAATTATGCCTAGGAACATGGAATGTGAACTACTCTGCGTAGGGTCTTAACAGGGCTGATCAAATGAATATGAGGTCAGTAGGGTAGACTCTCAGTAGGGTGGACACTCATGCTTACCCCAAGGGGACCTTTGGAGACACACACACACACACAAATGCCAACGTGAACATGAAGGCAGAGATCGCCATAATGAGTCTACAAAACCAAAGTGAAAAAGCAGCAGTGCCAGCAACTCAGATAAACAGAGAGAAGCCAAAAGTGCTTCATTTCAGTGAAGTCACAACAGTTCTTGATTCCAGCAGTACGCTGAGGTTGCCCAGACTGACAGCAAGGACAAATCTATCAGTGCAATTGTGAAGAAGGAAAAAGGAGACTGGTCTTGCTGCTGCACCTTCAACTGCTAGGGCCACAGAGCATGACATACTCAGTTTAGGCATTCCACCTGCAAAGCAATACACTGGACACAGCATCCGTGGGGTGTGGTACTGCCTGCGCTTTCAGGCAGCCACTGGAGGTCCTGGGACATTTCCACTGTGGGTAAATGTCAAGCGTGAACAGCAAATACGACTGGCTGGCATGAACAGAGTCCGGATTTTTCAAGGTGTTTTATAAATATCTGTATGCTAATTATGTAAATCTCATCTTTTAAAACATTTTTATTATGGGAATTTTCTTTTTTTTTTTTCCCCAGCATGTATGAGACCAAGCGTCTCTGGCTGCTACAAAGGTATAGCAGACAGGTATAGTAACAAACAACTTTATTTTGAGCAGGGGGAACAACACAGCACTGAACAGCTATATTGTAGTCTGAATCCTGCTTTATCATGGGAATTGTCAAACATATACAAAAAGTGGAACAATGAACTCATATACATCACTCAGCTTCAATGATGATCAACATTTGATCTATTGCCACGACTTACCTGAAATGTCTTAAATACTGCAGAACCTCACACCCACCCCTTGCCACACACTTCAGACGGTCCGTTTAAATAACAATACATGAGCACTTGGCCATTACTCCACCTAACACACGGTCACAATGCTTTAGCACACGTGGATACTCGCTTCACATTCAGATCACACCAGCTGTCCCCAACATGTTATTTGTGCATTTATCTTAATCAAGACTTAAACAAGATCCCAACATGCAGTTACATATCTCTTTTATATTACAGCAAGTGTTCCCTTTCCTAACTTAATGCTTTAAATCACACAATAGTTCTCTACTATGTCCCAGCTAATATGAAGTAATTATGGAAAGGGCACTCTAGAGCGATACTGGCTAGAGTTACAGATGAAAAAACGGCAAGCAGGTGTGTGACGTAAGTCAGAACATAAATCGAGTCTAACTCAGTATCAGTCACTGCTGAGTCAGCAGTCATCCTTGCTGCACTTGGGCCTTTCTTAAGGACATTTCCTTCTTTTTCTCATTTTCTTCATTCAAGATCCTTCCCTCACAAGACGCACAAGTCCTCCATAACCATCCAGCCAGAAAACCTTCCTAGTTACAACTTAAAATCCAGGAGCCATAGAAGGTTAATAAATTCCAAGAAAAATACACATGACAAGAAAGTAATGTTGAAGAATATCTTCAACAAAAAGAACAAAAGGCCAACAAAATGAAGCAAAGGCTACAAATGGTGTATAGGACTAGTCAATACAGAGGATTCAAAACATTCTTATAGCAAGAAAAATGCAAATGTAAACCGTACTGATGTGTTCTTTCACGTCCATCAGGACGCTTGCATCTGAATTGGCACTGTCAGGGCTGCACTGGCGGCAGGCGCACACAACACACAGCCTCGGCAGAGAGCATCTGACGGTCTCTGCTGAAATGACACACTCCTCTGAACCACCAATTTCATTTCTGGTCTTTTAATGTGCAGAAACTCCGCTCATGTGTGAAATGACAGTTGTTCCTGGCCTCCCCGCGCGGCATTCTTTCTAACTGCGAGACTGGAAACACCAAGTGCCCATCAGTGATGACTTGATAAGGCACTGTGCTATACAAGGAATGAGATGTAACTGCAGAAATAAAGGACCTCTCGGGGTGAAATCTCCCGTGTGGGGAGGAAAGAAAAAGAAAGAAAGAAAAAGCCAAGGTGCAAGGCAACGTGCATAGCACGCAATCTTTTGCATAAAGAGAGAATATGGATCCATGCTTTTATTTCTACACCACACATGCAAGTTTAGGAGGATAGATGAGAGACTGAGAATGAACTCTGGAATTGTTGAATGGGCTGTGGGAACTGGGTGAAGACTTTCCCTCTTAAGCTGGTGGTCTCAGAGGGCCACTCTCCTTCTAAATTTCAGATGATACAAAGATACGTAAAGATCCTATCTGCCACACTCCCTTGGCAGGGGGCAGGGTGATATGTCCAACCTCTGGGCTTTAAGATTTACATATTTTCATTGGAAAGTCAGATTTACAGACAAAGTAAAGTAAAGAGAGACAAAGATTTTCTTTACACTGATTCACTGCCCAAGTGGCTGCAATAGCTGGAGCTGAGCTCATCCAAAGCCAGGTGCCCGAAGCTTCTTGCAGGTCTCCCATGTGAGTACAGGGTCCAAGGCTTTGGGCCATCCTCGACTACTTTCCCAGGCCACAAGCAGGGAGCTGGATTGGAAATGGAGCAGCTGGGACATGAAGGGCACCTGTATGGGATCCTGGCACGTGCAATGTGAGGAGTTAGCCACCAGGCTGCTGCGCTGGGCTCCTCAGGCATGTCTAACTTTCCCCCCTTCCATGAGATGGTAATGGCCACAACTACCTAGTCACACTGGGAGCTCCTCCCTGAGACTTGCAGGCTGGTAAAGCTGCACCCCCACCTTGCTTGAGTCATGATACTCTGTTCCAGCAACCTCACTGGTATTCTAGCTAAAGCAGAAAACGATACCCAGAAATGAGTTGCTTCAGTACCAAAGCCTACATTGTGGGGCTGGGTATTGTGGTACAGTGGGTCAAGGCAGTGCCTGGGACTGCCGCAACCCCCCGCCCCCCATCACAGTGCTGGCTTGTCTGCTTCCTCTGCTTCTGAGCCCAGGCCAGGCTAACACAGCCAGGCAAGGCAGATCATGTCCCAAGTGCTCAAGCACCAGTCAACTGCTCGGGACGACCTGCATGAAACTCTGGGTCCCTGGCTTCAGCCTGGCCTAACCCAGACTCATGCAAACATGTATTCGATGAGCCAGTGGATGCAAGATTTCTGTGTCTCTCTAGTTCTCCCTCAACTATCTCTGCCTTTCAAGTAGGTGAAAATAAGTAACATTTTTTTAAAAAGCTACCGTTGTGGTTTGGCTTAAACAGCTGGAAAGAAAATGAGAAAACAGAGCCTGCATACTACAAACTGCATACTGCTTGTATCCAAACTGTATACTGTGCAAAACAATTGTTAAGACAGTAATACCTTGCAAGACCAACCCCTCTGGGTCTGCGGTCTGCCTGGGGAAGCAATTTGAGGGGTCCATAAAGGGTGCCGGTCATCCCCTCCTAGCTCTGAGCCACTGTAAAAGATGAAAGCTGACAGGATGGGACCAGTCTGTGAGCAGAGAGGACAGGAATACAGCCCAGTAAGGGTGACGCACCACAGAGATCACTCGGGGCTCCAAAAACATGAGATAGTCTGATTTTGGATAACACCAAATCTTTGTAAAATATGAGTCATAAAGTCATCTCTAATCTAGAATATTAAGTGATGCTGATAATGCGTACCTCCGTGTGTTAAAAATTAGAAAGTTTAAACTTGTGTGTTTACATATAAATTTTTGAATAAACAGGTTTTTTTTCCCCCATAAACAATAAATTTCATGTTCTTTCAAAGATGGTGATAGAGTCAAATGTTTCATAACAAATTTTTAAATAATGATAAATGCTAAATGCACAGTGGTGGGATTGTGGCATAGATTAAGCTGCTGCCTGAAATATCAACATTCCCTTGGATGCCAATTTGAGCCCTGTTTGCTACACATCTCATCCAGCACCCTGCTAAGTGCCTGGGAAAGGAGCTGAGGAGAGCCCAAGTGTTTGGGACCCCGACACATAACTGAGAGGCTGAGTCTAGAGTTCCAGGCTCCTGGCTTTGGCCTGGCCCAGCTGTGGCAACTGAGGTCATTTTGAAAGTGAACCAGAGGATGGAAGACCTCTGCCTCTCCCTCACTCCCTGTAAGTCTCTCAAATAAACAGGGAAACACAAAAAGGGAAAGATGCAGATCTTCTATCTGCTGGTTCACACCCAGATCCAGGCCGGGTCAAGGCCAGAAGCTTGGACTCTAGGACTCCATGAGGATCTCCCAGGTGGGCGGCAGGGACCTAAACCCTCAGGTCAACCTCTGCTGCCTTCTCAGGCCTGTTAGCAAAGTGTCGGATCAGAAGCAGAGCTGCAAGGACTCAAAAATCAGTGATGTGACATGAAATGCCAGCGTGACAGGTAGCGGTTTAGTCCGCAGCGCCACAATATTGTCCCACACATCCCCTCCATCTATTTTTTTTCAAGTCTGTACACATATATATCAGAAAATGAGCAAATATGGTAAATGTTCAACAGTGCTGCAGGAAGAATGGATAGATTTCCTTTCAAACTTGGAAGCATTTGTTAAGTTTGTGTTCATCCAAAACCCATATCAGTAACAGCTTTCCTGCTTCTGTTATTACCACTCCAAGTGATAATAGTAACCTGTAAATAAATGCCTACACTTTCAAGGCATTCCGGATGTGTTTGCCAGCCTGAGACAAGGGAGGCAATCACTGCGGCTTAGGGTCATGTACTTGTCAACAAAGTACTTACTGAAACACAACCGATGTTATTAAACACGAGCTCAAAGCCCTGGCTTTCATCGCGGTGTCAGAGTCCCAGTGCAGGCCGACAGCCAACGGCAAAGACCACCACCCAGGGGTCCCACGATGGCCAGCTGTGCTGCTGGAAAGGCATCTGCTGCTCTGGCACGCAGCCTTTATCTCCCTGGACTCACAGCCCACACAGCAGCTGGCAGACCCTGTTGCCTCCCCGCACACGTATGGGAGCCACATACCGAACCTGGTTCTCCAGGAAGTGCATGTAGCGGTAGAGCAGGGTGTAGGAAGGAGAGAGGACGCCCACGGACTTCATGCGTGCGCCCCGCTCCAGCTCGCTCTCCACGGGCATGTTGGCGAAGCAGGCCAGGCCAAAGAAGGGCCCCTTGCGGAAATAGCTGAAACACATCAAATACACGGCCTGCAGTGAGAAACGCTGCTTGGTCTTGTCTTGGAGATGCAATCCAACAGAGAGCATTGAGGCCAGGGCTCTACAGGACCCAGCGCAGCCTCCAGACCAACTCGTGCAGGACACCAGGGGGATAAATAGCCACCAGGCTCACAGATGGGACCAGCAAGGCTTCACGAGATTACACAACTGGCCAGGGGTCAGGCCTGGGACTTGACAGGCCCGCTGCATCTCCCCTCGCCTTATCCCATCCCCCCCTTGCCTCAGCAAATGATTCGCCCAGCAGAACCACAATGCCAGTCATCTTTAGGGCCTTCTAGAACTGGTCCTGTTCCCTTAGCATCAACCATACTGATTCTTTCCTCACTTCCTGAGCCTTGAAGGGCTTCGGCAAAGCTGCCATGTCACTTCCTTCCGCTTTCTCACATGCACAGCAGTCATGGTTTCAGTGCAATGAAAAGCTTAAAGCCACTGCCTGACCCCTCTACCTCCCACCCCTCCCCCACAAAGCTCTTAATGCCTCATTTCCCAGGACCATTAACTGACAGGAGGCTGGAATTTCAAGTGTTAGCACAAAGCCTCAATCCAAATTGAGTGAAAGTCCACTCTCTTTCATGAAAACCAAATTCCACAGCAGAAGTTCTTAGCTTTGTGTGCTCAGGAAGTCCCTCCAGAGCTGGAGGAAAGCTAGAGGCATCCTCGCTGAGCAGGACATGGACACCGCACTGCACCGGGTCTCCTAGACGCCCTCTGAAGGCCCCTTGCTAACAGCCCCTTGCTAACAGCCCCTCCGGGACGATACTGGGGGGTGAAGAGAGCAACGGAGTGGAAAAGGTACAAAGAGGATGGTTTCTGAAGTCCTTACATGAAGTCAGACTGGATTTTGTGGGACCCACTGGCCATGGATTTGAATTCAACACCTTCAAGGTCGATATCTTGAGGTAAGCACCATTCCACCATGTTTCCTGCGGGAAAGGAAGGAGACGAGTGAGAGGCAGACAAGTCACACAAACAGAAAGAACACAGGCTACTTCTCACTAAAGGCGCTGCCGACTCAGCCCCGAGGAACCGCCCCAAAATCCCAGCATCCATCCACCAGTCTGAGGATCCGGACCACGCCCAAGCATCCATCCACCAGCCTAGGGATCTGGATGACACCCCGGCATCCATCCACCAGGCTAAGAATCTGGAAGACACCCCAGCATCCATCCAAGAGCCTAAGGATCCAGACCATGCCTCAGCATCCATCCACCAGCCTGAGGATCCAGAAGACACCCCAGCATCCATCCACCAGCCTGAGGATCTGGACCACGCCTCAGCATCCATCCACCAGCCTAGGGATCCGGATGACACCCGGGCATCCATCCACCAGGCTAAGGATTCCTCCATGGAGCAGCACTGAGTGGCTTCTGCTGCCTGTTCTGAAGTACAGCATCTACTTCCCACAAAGGAGACTGCTTGTTTCTGCCCTCTAAGTCTTCTCATCCCACAACCTTTGTTCCTCCACATTCACTTCTTCATCCTGCGCTGTTCCTGCCCTAATCCTCAAAGCTGATGCTCCTATCTCACCTTTCCACACCAACTAATGATCTTTGACAAATCCCCAAACTCTTTAAGAAATAATAAATAAATCTTTATTTGCATTGGCCTCTTCAAGGCATCTGCTAATTCTTTTTATTTTTTTTAAAGATTTATTTTTATTATTTTTTATTGGAAAGGCGGATATACAGAGAGGAGAAACAGAGAGGAAGATCTTCCATCCGATGATTCACTCCCCAAGTGAGTGCAACGGCCGATACTATGCCGATCAGAAGCCAGGAGCCTCTTCCGGGTCTCCCACGTGGGTGCAGGGTCCCAAAGCTTTGGGCCGTCCTCGACTGCTTTCCCGGGCCACAGGCAGGGAACTGGAAGGGAAGTGGGGCTGCCGGGATAGAACCGGCACCCATATGGGATCCCGGGCATGCAAGGCGAGGACCTTAACCACTGCGCCACCGCGCCGGGCCCGGCATCTGCTAATTCTTAAAAAATGTCTGATATCACACAGTACCCCCAGACAGGTGCAAGTGCAATGTCAATTAATAACTAAATCGTAAATAAATCCTCCTCCTTCCCCTTGCTTCCCATGACAGAACGGTATTCTCTTTGTTTACTTCCTTCGTCAATATAGCTCTGCTTCCCTTCCCAACTCTTTCTCTTAAGCCATCAATTCTTCACTTCCAGAATCCGGGGACTCGGTCCCTTGGCATGGATTACTGAGTTACAAGTTGGAAAAACATAGGCAAATAAAATGTAACCCCTGAACTCAGAGACGGAATTCAAAGATGAAGGAACAGTGTAAGGAGAGCAGTAACGGCAGGCCAGGATAAAGGCGGGGTGCTGCGGCACAGGACACGCGGTGGGACTGGAGGATGTCGTGACGGCAGGCATCCTTCAGACCGAGAAAATCAAAGTGTTATCTGGAGGCTGCAGGGAACACTAGAGTGTGGGGAGCCATGCAGTTGGGTCGGATGGCATGGGTGTGTGATGAGCACCGCTCCTCAGTTAGCAAGGCTGCGTGGAGTTTCTAGCTGCGAGGCAAGGCCCGGCAGAATGTCTCTGGTCACCTCATTGCTGCCTCACCCGTTGTATGGCTCCCCACACTAGAGGAAACTCCTTATTGTTTCCACGCTTGTTAAACATTTTGCAAAGCAAAACACGATGGTACTTGTGAGATCTCATTCTAGCACACACTGATTAACACTCCCAATCTTAAATCTCCCAGGCGTTGGAAACACCATCAGTCATCCTAGTCAACTATGTTCTCAGATAATTGCTTGGGGCATCAAGCAAGATGGGACGCAGCCTCAGAGCAGGGCAGACATCATGGAGGACTAGCCAGGCCCCCCTTCTGTGATCCAGGTTCTTCCAAATGGCTTCTCTGCAAGGGAGGAAGCCTGATGCCAGCTACCGGTCATTCACTGAAACAACAGCCTGAAGAGGGGAATTCAGATTTCCCAAGAAGACTAGGACAAACACCGTGTTTGCCAGGCTTAAAGACAAGGGAATCTAATGACAAAGGGGAGTGGGCTCAGGAGTGAAGGTGAGCTTTTCAAAAACAGATTTATAGGGCCCAGCATGGTAGCCTAGTGGCTAAAGTCCTCGCCTTGAATGCACCAGGATCCCATATGGGGGATGGGGGATGCCCTGGGGGTTGCCCCGCTTCCCATCCAACTCCCTGTGTATGGCCTGGGAAAGCAGTTGAAGATGGCCCAAGGCCTTGGGACCGTGCACTCACGTAGGACACATAGAAGAAGCTCCTGGTTTCAGTTTGGCTCAGCTCTGGCCGTTGTGGCCACTTAGGAAGTGATTCAGTGTATGGAAGATCTTCCTGTTTCCTCCTCTCTGCATATGTCTTTCAAAAAAAAAACAACCTGTATTTGGAAGAAAGTTCACTATTTTTCTACCTGTTGTGGACTCTGTACATTGGCTCTGTATTTAAGTGGATGCATAATGGAAGTGTAGCAGAAATGATACATTCAAAGGTGGAGACAGAGCAGTATGTCTCTAGGCATACAATATAAGGATGGACTCCCAGTGGGATGGCTGAAAATGTCCTGACAGCAGGATGCTGGACCCTCCGACAAGGTCCATGCCTACATCGTTGGGAGACAGTTCATGCTACATCATCACACACACACAGAAGCCTTACACAGATCCACTAGCCAGTTCCCCAACCTTCAAACAGTAAGACTTCAGAATGTCCGTGGACAGACTGGCATTGTGGCATAGGCGCTAAACTACCGCCAGTAGTGCCATAATCCCATTTGGGTGCCAGTTCAAGTCCTGGCTGCTCCACTTGCCACCTGGCTCCCTGCTCATGTACCTGGGAAAACAGTGGGAGATGGGCCAATCGATTGGGCCCCTGTATCCTCTTCGGAGACACAGAAGCAGCTCAGGATTCAGCCTGACCCATCTCTGGTCTTTGCAGCCATCTGGATAGTGAACCAGGAGGAAGATCTCCTTTTCTCCCTCTCTCTGCAACTCTGCCTTTCAAATAAATACTCTTAACACAAAACTAAATGAAAAAACAAAGTTTATGGAAAAAAATGGAACTACAGTTTATTTTGGTATAAAAAAAAATGAGACTCATGCTAGTTTTTCATAATACACGTATTCTGTGAACTTTGAAAAATCCACTTATACAATATTCTTAGTTCAGTTTCTGATTGAAAACACCCACACATTTCTGTTGACCTGAGGAATCAACTGCTTTTAACAGGCCCACAACACTGCAAATCAAGACACTTCAATGATTCCCCAAACTTACAGTAGGAGGGCTTCTGAAGGCAGAAACAGCAAGAGCAGCCTGCCACAGTATCTCCAGGCACACTTCCTCCACTGCGCCACAGCTCAAGGCCTTTCACATGCAGCTTTTCATCGTGAATCTCTATGAGACCAACACAATGCTTGAGGTCTCCCTAGATTACTCAGCCAGTAAATGACTTCTCAGGCCCATTTTTTAACAGAAGGCAATTTGTGTTTCAAAATGCTGGTACACGAGGTGCTTCGAGTTGTCCCTCAACATCCAACTATCCACTCACCCCTCCCTTTAGGTAACCGATTCTGCTTGGTGCATCGCCCTCTAAATGAGCACTACGCAGAGATATGGCTACATGAGCAAACTACAGCAGCAGGACACGGGCGGAAGAGAGGCGTGCAGGCTCTGGAACGTGCCTGGAAGGGCAGGGCTGTGCTGCTGCTTTTGCATGCTGCCGCCTAGGCCGCAGACGCACGGACATCGAGGAGAGATCCCGGAACCACAGGTCATGTGAACCTGGGTCTGGTTAACCTGCCTCAGGTCAGCTGTCGCCCGGCACACGAAAAATCAACCCTTATCTTGATTAAGCCGTACTGCTGACTTGGGGCTGCAGTGGGGCCATGGCCAAGTTTGTGCCCTACTAAGTTTGTGGAGAAAATAAGAAAAAAAAATGTTTTTCTGGTGCCATTTTTTGAGATTCGAGCATAGTTTTTTCATAACACACATTTAATCTAATTTGTTTGAAGAGTTCCTCAGATAGCTGAAAGGGTAAAGCCCCAATTCTTGGTTCCCAGGGGCCCCTTCCTTGATCCTGGGCCGATCTTCACTGCACAGAAGCAGAAAAAATCAGAGGGCGAGAATGGCATTGTGTCTTTTCTGCCCTGCTGCTTTGACGGAAGGCAGGCTCAGGCTGGGGACGAGAAGGGCAGGCTCAGGCTGGGGACTCGGAGAGCAGGGCACGGGCTCCAGAAAGCTACGATGGACAGTGCTACCTTTATCCTGTGGGAAACACACGTCAGCTACGCTCTTTGAGAGCAAAGCGGACACGGGGACTGGGGCCTCTTCTCTGCCTGTGATAACTGTGGCTTAGCTGTCTGTCTCCCCAAGTCTGGACTTCACCTTACATACATGGGGATTAAACAAACCAAAAACGTTTTATGAAGCATAGGCATGTCTTTCAAAAGCTAACCACTGATTCAGTGTTAATTATTTTAGGAGTGGTTACTGTGGTTATATACGAAACTACCTGTCTTAAGTTTATGCTCAACTTATTTGCAAGTGACTCCAGGGAAAATGTATTAAAAACCTGTATGTGCATAGCTGGTTCTACCTTAACACCTGCTAAATTTCTAACAATGCAACTGACATACCAGAAAATAAATTGAGCATATGCAATTTCACAGTTTCTTATGCCATACATCCAATGCAATTCCCGTTAAAATCCCAGCAGGTTGTTATGCAGATATAGACTAGGTAAATCTTACACGGAAAGTCAAAATATGCAAAATATCTAATAGAATTCTGAAGAAGAATAAAGTTGGAGGGCTGACGCTACCTAACTTCAAGAGTTACATGAAGACTACAGCCATCGAGACTCAAGAGGTTGATGGAATGGAATACAGAGTGTGCAGCAAAGAGATCCACACAGCAGCAACCAATCTTTGTCAA